CACAGTGATATATAAAGAATTTCAATAATCAGCCGGTAGCTTTAAACGTTTAGGAAGTTTGACAGCTCATCTTGATGGAGACATAATTGACGCATATATTGCATGTCAAATGGCAGACTGGACAAGTGTTACATACTTTCCAACCGATATCAGAAGAACAGTCTTAGGTTATAATTGGGAACAGAAAAATAGTTCGAAATTAAAATGGATGAATATCAAGAAAAAACTTAATGCAAAATTATTAATACCGTACAGTCTACGTCTTCATTGGCTACTATTAGTTGTTGAACCAGCAAAAAGTGAAATATCTCTAATGGATCCATATGGTACAGCTTCTGACAATGAAAGAGTCTTGAAAGCATCCAAAAAGTATATCGAGGAATCTGATGACAGGCCGACGATAGCTAAAATGCGCAATATAGATTGGAAAATGACCAAAATTACAAACTGCCCATTATAACAATTTAATGATACATCCAATTGTAGATTATACATAATCCATTATATGGAGTCTATTGGAAAAGAGAGTTCATTTGATGATAAATTTGATCCGGAGAACTATCGTCAAATAATTGCAGAAACTCTCATTAAGAAATCTGAAAATATGCAAAAGAAATGTCTACATTGCATGAGGAAACTGAATGAGAAACAATCAAAAAGATCATGCAATATGTGTAAGCGACAAATACACATACAATGCATACAAGAAAACTTACGAGAATTTGAAAAAAACATAAGCTCTAACGCATATAGAAAACGTAAAAAAAAAAATCGGAAAATAACGATAGAATGGAATTTGGAATTAAAGGATTGAACCAGAATATAAAGATATCCATTCACAATTAGTAATAACTGATCACTTTAAATCCATACAAGCTGCATTAAATGCACTGTGAATCAACACAAGCTGCATGAATTGCGCTCCAAATCAGTACAAGCTGCATGAAATGCGCTCCAAATCCATACAAGCTGCATCGAATGCGCTGTGAATCAACACAAGCGGCATCACATGTATTAAATGTGCTTTGAAATATTCCGACTGATCGGTGAAGATTCAGGTCGACCTTAATCAGTAGATCAAAGACACAATATTTTTCTTTAACGGTGATTTGTTCTTTGAAATTTATTACATTTCGAGTATTTAAGCAAACTGCTTCTGGAAATTATAGAATCGTAGACATTTCTACCTACGTACCAATCTTTTGAAATTTCGAGAGATAGCATTTGTTTTTGGTGCAGGTAGTATTGATTACATCGGAGCCATATTGAGTACAATTCAAATTAATGGGAGCTGCATCAAATGCGTCCTAAAATACAAGCTGCATGAAATGCGCTTTAAGTCAATAAAAAACACATACAATGGGTTTAACATCAATACAAGCTGCATACCATGCACTTTTCATCAATATTAACTGCACAATAAATAAAATCTATCTGTTTTAATTTCGAAAAATTGTAGCGTAAGTAAAGATATCAGAAATTCCACGATGGAAGAAAAACAACTTCGGAAATACTGGAATGGAAAAAAGATTAAGAAAAAGTAATTCTAGTTAGAAAAAATTATATATCTGCAATACGAACATCTGTCAATTTTCAGGTTCCGGTCAATCTGGGTTAATAAAAATTGGCAGATATATTTTGCACAATACAAAGAATATCTCTGCCAATTTTTGGGTGAATCTAAATCGTTGTTCTGCAGTTGATTTTTTTTTTGCAAAAACATCCTTTTTTCATTGAATTTACTGTTTTCTCTTAAATTTTAAGGGTTGGATTCGACCGATTCTTTTTTTTGACGTACTTTATATGATTTCTGTGCGTTGGTTCTCTCTCTCGTTCATATGAACGTTCGAAACTTCAACCACATCTTAAGACGACACATATGTGATGTAGCACTTATGTGAAAGAAAAGTCAGGCCCAGAAAAAAAGATTAAAATCATTTAGTAATTATTTATGTAATTAGTAACTCTACGATAATTAGAGAATAGCTGGAATATATCACTCAAACATTGAATAATGTGTAAATATTATATTTTAAAAAATAGAGACTTATTATTTATTGATTTATTGAATAATTTAAGAAATAAGAATCCTGATATCAGAAAACTGAAATTTATATTTCATTTTCATACAATTTAAGTGATTTATAATCTCATAAATCAGTAAAACTTAAATACTTTCTATTGAAAAGAAAAATAATAAACACAAAATATGTAAAAGTGTTGGAAGTGACAGGAATAAATAGTACCTTGAAACATTAGCTAACATACGTTAGCTTATACGAAACCAATGAAGATAACCTTCAGTAGATGTGGATTTACGTGCCTCTTCAACTTGAATATAAGCTACCGTGATTTACCTCATGCTTACAAGCTCACAAATACATGAGTATAATAACGTTCAAGTATCCATGTTGCGTGTTATATCTGGATAGGCGTGTGGCGATAATTAAAACATTTAAACCTCCAGGACTATCTTAACGACTGCCAGTTAACATTGAATGATATTAATTGACGATAAAGCAATAATCAACATTTAGTATCAAACACCCAAGATAACTAAACACATTATTTATAAAAAAGTATGACAACATTCAGTATTATTATTTTTAAAAAAATAAGCAATTGCTGTCAAATAATTTCGATCATTTTTTTATAAAAATCCTGAATTGTGCCAAGTTTGAATAATTTATAGCATCCGGATCAAAGGCCCGAGTTGTAAGCAGCAGCGAACAGTTGAAATACCCAACAATTATCCACTCATCCCTTCTATACTTTACCCTTCCCTCTTTCTGTATTTTTTTTATTCCCATCCACGTGAACACGTTGGTCCACTCTCCTGTACATTCCTACGCATTCCTAACGTCGCCATATGCCAGTTTATTCATTCCCATAATGATACTAAATATTTTTATTTGCAAAAAACGTCAATTCGTTTATTCCACTCGGTTTTACTGTAAAAGTAGTCATAAAAATGCTTTTATTCTTTTTTCCATGTATCTATAATATTATTTTCAACCCTTTCTTTACCTAAATTACAAGAAATAAGAGTAAAATGACATCAGATTATAACAATTTTCATACCTTCTGGAAAATGAACTGTAGGCTTGCACGATTTTTTTATTATTATATATACATTACATTATAAATGTGCGTATAAAAAAATTTTATTCTCACGATATTCTTCGACAACATTATCTTGTAATGATGCTGAAACTCGAATACGTGAAACATCAGTTATTATAATACATTACTGTTGACGCGGAAGTAGTTTAATTGAAAGAATGTCTGTGATTGCAGGAGAAATTGCTAACAAGTACATTAATTATAAGAGAAAGTATCTTCATTGCGAAAAGGAAAATTGACGCTAATCACAAACTATCTCCAATAAATCTATAAATAGTAAGCAAGAATAAAATGCAGTGGAAAGTGAATTTAAGTGTATATATAAATAAATATCAATCATTTAACTAATTTTATATGTATAATTAATTATGAAATTTAAATTACTGAATTATATTCAAAAATTTAAAAAAATTGTCGTAGCAGTCCAATAATTTATATTTACATTATTAAATAAATATTATTGATAAAGGTACGTTTTCAGTAAATCCTCTTCTTGAGATACTAAATGAAAAAAAAAAAAATGTAAAAATCATTTTATCATTTTCTGTATATATGTATATATACATATATAGAAGCAAAGAACATCACAGCGTAGGACGATGGGATTTTGTCGAGGTTGTACTTTACGAGGGACTGAATAAATAATCATATATTTTCCAAACCACCTTTTCGTGTGTATATATGTAGAGATAAATTTGCTTTAACTTTTCAAATCTAAATCTAAATACATTTCAACATTTTTTTACATTTTATTACTAATGTTTATTTTTTAAATTCAAAATAATTTTTCAAATTCATTCATTAAACGAAAGTACCAAATATCATACAATATTTTTTGATAATCAAAAAATTTTTGTGACTTTCTAATTCTTTTTTTGTTATTTCTTGGAAAGAATGTAAATTTTTAATGATCTCATTAAGAACTTCAGACCCTCCAAGTCCGTTGAATTGAGTCATCAGTTGCAATTAATTGCCGGTTAATTGATATTGCATTCCTTTGAAACGTATTTAGAGAAATTAAATGATTTGTTAGAACAAACTGTATTAGAAAAATGTTTGTATAGAGATCATAATTGTTTTTATCATGTTTATGATTCATTTAATCATAATAGCAACACAATTAAAATGAAAACAATTTCCTTGACAAATTATGAGAATAACAACCTACTAAATAATCTTTTTTTTCCAAATTTACTAACAATTTGTAATGCAAATTTTTTTTTTCATATTCATAATATTACATTCATTTTTAATTAAAAAATTTTAATAGTTACCATTGTATTGGTTCTTAACTATAGCCAATCAACCGGTATAAGACGTGGTCACTTTATTAGCTAGAGTACCGAAACAGAACTTTGTCTATAGATAAAAAGATGAATGAGCAATCAGAAGTAAACGTTAAAAAATTCTATGAATTTTATGATAACACCTTGGAAGATATGCGCACACAGATCACGGAAATCGTGCGTGGATAATTATGCAGACACCACCGCTGGGAGTATTCAACCAACATTGCGTGCGCTCGTGCATGAGACTAGAAAATATACATTTACATTTACACTTTGAACATATGCAATTCTACGCACAATTTTTATGTATGTTTTGAATACAAATGGGGTAAATAATACTAGACATTTGTGCGCAACTATTGGATATTCGAATGAATCGATTCACAATTGTTCGTACAAAACGAAATGTACCATTCAACTTAAATTTGATTTCCTATAGCATTGTATAAATCGTCTGAAACGATTTTATACACAATTCTTTATGAAGGAAATATATTTTCAGCATCTATGCTTTGATATCTTTTAATAATTGACAGTATCAACAATAAACAACACAAAGGAATAAAGTTCGATTATTTAATTACTTACTGATATCTTTCTAACACATTCTGATGAGTTACTTTTTAGTTGATTAATCCATATTTTTTTACTCTTAGCAACATTACACGCTCTTAGATATTTTAATAACACAATAGATGCATAAAAAATCACTATAGCACTTTATACACTCATAATGATCAAATATATTCTTGTTTCATGATCGTAAAATTTCATATTCCGTTAGATACTCGTGAATATTCACAAACACGTATTTGAACTTGATTCTAGGTATTCACAAAAAATTTATCATAAAAAATGACACTAACTTGCAGTAAACACTATAAAAATAACCATTCTTAACTTTCAGTCAATTAAATATTTTAACGTTGACCACGATCTACATATATGTTTTGCAAAGTAATCAATATATAGGCCAAAAATATTGAAAGCGTCATGGCGTCTGTTTTAATAATAAAAAAGAATTTCAACACTTGCAAAATTTTTAGTTACGTTAATTAACTTGAGAGCATCATTATACCATCGTTACATGTATCATGGTGACACTTCATGTTATTATATTATAATAATTGATTATTAAATTCAAATTAATAACATAAATCTACTAACTTCTAACTTGAAAAGGCGACGTTTAAAACGAAACTGAGGATCTACGGCGAGAATCAATCCCCACTTTCTTTATTTCTCAACTCTCTCCTTCCACACATCCTTTTACACGGTTTAAATTTTTTCAATCACTTGATCTGCTTTATCGACACTTGTTGAACTTTGGAGAATTTTAATTTTTCAAAGTGGTTTCAAAATTTCTTTTTTAGCATTATTTTTAGTTTTTCATCATTAATACATTTTATTACAAATTAAAAAAATTATAACGTAAAAGTCTTTCTCATAATTTTATTTTACACTTTTATGAGAAAAATTTTTCTATTTTATTATTAAAACAATTATTTTAAAATCTGAGTATTTTGATTAGACATGTTTTAGAGTCTTGTAGACAATTATAAAATGATTTGAATAATAATTCCTAAAAATTTCAAACAAAACATATCGAAACAAAAAGCTATCGCGATCAGTAGCATCAAAATGAGTTTTTCAAATAGTTACTAAATTGATTCTTTCGGCTAATTTATCAAAATTAATAGTTATTGACGCTACATATTTGGTTTAAAAGATCAAAATTTTCTTTTGGAAAAAAATAAAAAGTTATTATAATTAAAAGAAAAAACCTAGAAAATTTTATTGCTTTGAAATTTTATCTTTTGATAAAAATATTTAAACATGGATCCTGAAGTTATTGATAAAAATTCAATAAAAATTGTGGAAAGTATTATTGAAAAATTTAATTTGGCAATAGAAAATATTCAGTCATCTGCAACCGACCAATTAGAAAATTTGATTTCTACATTTGAAGACATAAACAAAGAAGATAACATAATTCAATTAACCGAACAACTTATTCATAAATCAGAATCATCGAATGATTTGTCTATAGGAGAATGTATATCAAATGTCAGTTCCGTTTCAAATCCAAAAGAAACATCAGGATGGTTTAATACATGGTGGTCGAAAGTTGTAAACCACAAATCAAGTGAAAAAAATTTAATAACATCTATTACATCAATTAGCTCTACTAATGATGAGCTAAGTGCAGATGAATCTGCGTTAAATCAAGCAAAAAAGTCTATAAAACAGCTAGAAGATCAAGGACCGGCTGGTCTAGTTCACATTAGTGCTTTGAGTAATGTCGTTAACAGAAGAATACTCGTATGGACATCATCTACCAATTTATATCACGATACAGGAAAAAAACATCCCGGTGATCCTATTAATATACAATTTCATTCTCAACCCGAAGAAATTCAAGGACATTGGACGCTTTTAGGTAACGAAGATCCCAATGTTGAAGCGGATTTAAATGATTGTCTCTTTGCGACAATTGCAGCTCAAACTGGTCACAAACCAGAAGAATTACGAGCTGCAACCGTTGAGAAAATGCGAAAAAATATTCGAAGTTTGGCTAAAAGAATAAGTGAATTAGCAAAACAAGAACAATGCGGAAAAATTGTTCTTATGGTCGGTGGCGCCAGATATGATGGCAAATCAGCTAATGCAGCCAAAAAAATTCTAGACAATTCTCAATGTGGGAGAAGTCATCCCAATCATGCTCATGGCCATCCAAGAGGCCATGCCTCACACCCATCAGCATCTGGCGCGACTGAAAGCGCAGAAAATTATTCTATTGGAACATGGAAAACTGCATTTTTATCACGGAATGATCAAGATGTAGTTGGTCATCTTGCATTAAAAACAAGAACTGCTCAAGTAGCTATGGAAAGACTTAATCAGGGCGGAATAAGGCAGGTGGTACATATTCCATCTTCTCAAATTCAAGAACAATTACCACAAGGAGCTCATTTTAATAATGGTCGTATGGGAAATGTAGAAAATATCAAAGATTTGGTGTTGGTACTTCAGCATTTTGCTGGACATTATGGTGATCCAAGCCATGATGTTTTTGTGCACACTTTTTATCCCAGACTAAATTAATCATTTGTATATCTAGAAAGTGACTATATTCTGTAATGAATTAAGAAATTTTATGATTAACAGCAACAGCCCGTTCATGTATCATTTACAAAATATTAATATTTATTTTTACATGAAAATTTTCATTTATTTTCTTCACTAATCTGAGTAAAACAATGGTGATATTTACAAGTGACATTATTTACGTTAATATCATCTTTAGGTATATGTTCACTTAAATTATTTAAAACAGATGAAAGAATGAATTTATAATGATTTAAATTATCGCGACTAATTTTTACTGAATTAAATGTGTATAATAAATTTTCAATTATATCTAATACTAAATTAACATTATCGAGATTATACTTTTCTATTTTTCGAGCTACTTCCTTGAGCCAAATTAATATACCATAATCTCTTATCAATATTGTACTACCCATCGTTATTTTGGTCGCTGATTTAAGAACTTGAAGTATTAAATTCTGTAACAAAAAATTAACAAAATAATGCTTATTGACTTATTTATTACAGATAGAAAATCACTGAAAATTAATGTATATAAATTATTCATTCATTTACCTTAGTTTCGGGATCCGCTAATGAGCAGTGATAAAAATCACAGATCATTCGAAAAACTGAAAATTTAAGTGCAAGTTTTAAATCAGCATCAGTTTTCATTCCGTCCCGAATTACTTCCAATATCCAATGTCTGTATAATTTATGGTTGATATCTGAGCTATGAAACAGTGTTAAAAATTCAGGTATTCCTTGCAGAACTAATGCAGGTTTAGCCATTAAAAACGATTGAATTGGTACAAAAAGTGGGTTTAATGGTCGAGCCGATATTAAAGAAGCTTTAGCTAAAAATGTCGTAATAAAACTGTTAAGTTGTATATTTTTTAATGAATTCATTTCAGCTTGCTCCTTCATAGACGCTATTCCATTGCGTAATGCATCAATAAAACGTATCCAGAGTAATTTATTTCTATTTTTTGTAGCTTCAAGGTGAAAATAAAATCGAGCCAGTACAGTAAAAGCTGCTAATCGTATTCCTTCACATGTGCTTCCACACGAAGCAAAAATCAAAGACAATGTTCCTGATTTAATAATTTTATGACATGGAATTACATTATCAACACTGAATGATGATATTAAAAGTGGAAGAAAAAATGCTGGATCATAAACGTTAGATGGAGGATGTAAGACGGTTGATTGTAAACTACGATTAATTGGAAAATTTATAACAGTATTATTAACAAGATCTTCGTTAAACAATTCCATAACCTGTGCTATAGATGGTTGTCGTAGTAGTGAAGTATCAATCTCTCCTTTAACGCTATAATGGTTAGCTGCTGCTTCACCCCATAAATATGGCTTATAATAATTTAATTTTATTTCTGAAGCTTCGTAGTGACGTAGAATAAGCAATATTAGTTGGTCTGACTCATTTAATGTTGCATTGTATGCTGATAAGAATAGAGGAATTTGTGTAGGTAACATCAAACTCCTATTTTTACGTACCAAGACCCATAAAAGTTGTAACAAATTTTTTTTCACTGTATTTTCACTACTTAGCATTAGATTTACAAATTCTGAGTGAGATGTAGTCATCTCAAAGATTGTTTTTACATAAAGATCTTCACAATTATTTGGATAAATGATGTCAATAAGTTTTGCTATTGTTTCTAAAAGAGGTAGAGTTTTTTCATCTTCTAATGGTTTTTCATTTTCATCCTTTTGATTATTTTTATTGGACGATTTTTTTAAACCTTGCTTCAACGAAAATCTGATAAATTGTGGCCAAGAACTAGCTGTACTTAATTCTTCAAATAAATCATTCTCTTCAGATTGTTTAAAATCACCAATTGCTTCAGATAAATAATCACAAAGTGTAAACATTTTTTCTTCATTTTTAGTATTTTTTTTCAATGAGTAAACAAATATTCTTATCAAAATTTGAATGAATTCTTTTATAACTGTTGTAGTATTTTTAAAAGTTGTCAGTTTTTTATACAAAACTCGTAATAATTTGATATAATTTATGTCAACCATTTCTAATTTATCTCCACTACGTATTATGGTACTTGAAATCTTATTGCAAATTTCTTCATTGAAACATGACATTATCAAACAAGAAATTGCATCAACATTAGTCACAATCCAATCAACATTTATGTTGTCAGCCGAAAAAGTTAAATAAAACACAATTTCTTCATTATATTTATTAAAAAGATCAGTTAAAAATTCTTGAGTCCATTCGGATGTTGAATTAATGGATATAATTGGGAAAATGATGTTTTGATTTTGAAGCTTGGAGTTTGATTTATAAGATTCAATTAAAACTGGAATTAATTTATCATTTTTAGATATAATTAATCTGATCAATGCTATTGTCGATATAGTTAAATCAGTGTTTAGTAAACCCTTAAACTGTTTATCATCAATAACAAAAATATATTCAGAATATTTATGAAAAAATGTGGTCAAACTTATTTCCCACGTCTCAATCAATTTAATTTTTTGCTTTGTTTTCATCTCCACAAGGTGATTAATCACACTCTGAACATTTTTTGTTAATTTTTCTTTTTTACAATCCATAGTTATTGATGTGGTTAATAGTTTAATAAGTTTTGGTATAATTATTCCCCAAGAAGATAAACTTGTTTTATTACTTATAAAACAATCTACTGGTAAATTGACAATTTTTTCCAACAAATTAAAAATATCCTCATTTGATAATGCAAAAGTTTCAATTAATTCAGCAGCATACGATGATAGCTTCGGTCTCAAATTAGTTGTACTAATTAGCAAATTCAATTCAAAAACGAATTTATTTTTGAATAAAAACAATACATCTTCCATTCTATTAGTATTATTGATACTGACTGCTGTTTTAATAATGTCTACGTAGCTAGCAGTGAGTATTTCATAGGAATTATCGTTCACTATCACGGAGAAATATTTCAAGGTCATAATATTATTGAAAATCATGCTCAAAAATTTTGTTAATACATTTAAATCTTCTATTTTAGTAGCTTCATCTAAGCTTTTTGCAATATTCAGAAATGTGATTATTGTTTTTTTGAATCGTTCAAGTAATTCTTGATGTAATTGCTTTTTCTTCATAAACTGTATTAAATAGAAAAGAGTCATTTGGAGAATGTTAGATGCTTCAAAAACTGTTAATTGATGTCGAAATTCAATCTTCTGATCTCCATAATCAAAACTAACTAATTTATCTCCATTAAATAATTTTTCAAACTTTATTGTATCTTTTGATAGTAAAAGTTTACTATAATTACTAATAATGTTTTGTGGAAAATATTTTTTCAGTGATACGGGAATTCCTTCAATCCAGCTCGATATATATTTATTAGGTAAACCATACATATCTTCAATTAGATTTTCTAATTCTACTGGATTTTTTTGATAATGTAGTGTTAAGACTATCACGTATGACATATAAATTGACCCATTTTCATTAGTATGATTTTTGAGATAATCTAACGCAATGTGCAATATATCTGGAATAGAGTTTTCTTCTTTTATCTTCGATATTGCACTTTCTTCATTTTCATTCTTATTCTTTTTGTTATTCTTGAAGAATTCATCTTTATTTTTTACACTGTATCTAAACATTTTTACGAGCCATCGAGCGACAGCATTTTTTTGTTCATTTTCAAAATAACTTAAACAATTTATCCAAATATCTATTTGGTTATCATATCCTTGGAATGTTTTCAAAGATTTCAATAAAAGTTTAATAGTATTTTTAGCTTGTTTATCTAGAATTGAAGATGTTCTGTTAACCATGAGTGAGTCCTTCTCAATGAGTGAAATCAAAAATATCAAAGATTTAGAAAAAATTGTTTCCTCTATTTCAAAAGCTATTGGATTGAGTTGAAAATTAATTGCAATTAATTTAGTTTTTATTTCATTTAATTTACTGATATTAGTTGTTTCAATATTTTTTAAATCAGTAAATAAATCAATTTCTGGTAATTTATTTGAAACATCAAAAAAGTTGATATCAAATAACTTAGAACTTATGTCACGATAATGTTCCAGTAATTCAACTATTGATGCCAAGTGATCAATTTTTTCTGGCAAATAGGATACCATTTCATCATCTAATGTATCTGACGGTTCTTCAGTTTTTAGTGTTAAATTCCACATAAATAATATTTGTTTCACGCTTGGCATATTTTTTTGAATGTAATTAACAACTGCTGATTGATAATTGTTTGAATCAGATTGGTTAAAATTGTTTTTGACTATTTTAAAATATTTTTGAATTTGTTTTAACATGATCAGGAGCATAGAGCAAACCTGTTGACGTACAATGATTGATGATGAATTGATAGAAGATGGTATTGTATTTTTTAAAATTACTTGTGGCATCGTCAAAGTGAGAGATGCATTAATTAATTGGGGTAAATGTAATTCCACTATGTAAGGTTTCAAATTTTCTGGATCAATTGATTCTATGACTTCGCATACAAAACTCATAACTGAAATCCATTTTGGTGATATACGTGGTTCCAAAAATGCTTCAGTATATGTCATTTGTGATTTAACTAAATCTGGACATGCTGACAGTACTTTTATAACTAAATCACGGGGTTTTTCATGTTCCCATGGTTTGTCTAAACTTTCCAAAACTGTATTTACTAATTGATTATGCTTACGACCTGAAGTACCGAGGCTTCTATCATTAAAAATTATTCCATATCGGGTAGATGTTAACAGAGTTATTAAAAACACATGAACTGCCTCTGTCACAACCTTTAAAAATAAAAAATTATTAAAATTTTAAATATTCTGAATCATATTATAAAATTGAGTGATATTTATTAAATATTTAGTATTGATAGTAGTACCTTTTTCTCATCAGGATCCACATGTTCAGTAATTTTCACATGTTTTTTATTCATTCCTGGCCAGTTTTTTGGACCTTTCCAATTATATAAGCACACCAAGCTTTTTACCACTGGAGTACAAAACACATGGAGCTTTGTAGTTTTCATTACTGAATTATTTTCTAACACATAAGTTTTTATTGTGGTTAATACTAAATTTACTGTTGAATGAGAATCATAAATTAGACCAGGAAAAATACTCGAAAGTAATCCACGTTTTTCCAAGAGACTTTTTATTGTTAAACTGTTTCCATCGACCAAAAATGCCAAAACAAAATGTATAAAACATTTTCTCACGCTTTCCAGATCAGTTGGTTTTGTTTGTTGGGTAAGGAAATCTATTACTTGAGAATGAAATGACAGATGATTAAGGAGTTCTCTCGGTAGGCTTCCGCCTAATGTTACCAATGCAGTCAGAAATTGTAGAATTATTTTTCGTTGTTTCGGACTACTTTGTTGTGACATCATTGAATGAATTAATGATAAGTGAGAATTAAAAATATGACGACATGCTTCGCCAGCACTTGATTGATGTTGAGGATACTTTGCTGTAATTCTGAAATGAAAAAAAAAGAAATTTACAACATTCACAATTTAAGATAATCACAATATAATAATGGAGTCAAGCTTATCTTGTCTCTAATCTTATAGTATTCAAAAACTTACTTCATAATAATGAAATACATAGCAGAGAATATTATACTAGCATTTTTTAAATTCTTCTTTTCATTAGTATCAAGTAATTTTAGTATTTCAAGAATACTACCACCAGCTTCTAAATATTCTCCAACCAAATCTTTTTCTCCATTATTATCTTGACAAACAGCAATAAATTTTTTTAGAATATCAATTCCACCTTCTGTACTGAAACTCTTTCTTAAAAATTTTCCAGTCATTTGATCCACTTCTTTGGAAGTACATTTTACTTCTACTTCATTGTCTTCCTCATTATTATCATCAGCAGTAATTGGATTATTTTCATCATTATTAATATTTCCATTATGATTATTTTTTACAACTTCATTTACTGAATATTCTGATTTAACTTTCTTGATATCAATTTCTTCAACTTCTGTTATTGTATTTCTTCTTTTTTTATTTTTTTTTGAACTTTCATTTTTTTCTATTATTAATTTTTTAGGTTTAGATTCATTTACTTCACTTGATTGCATTTTGATTGAAAATTTTTTATATTTTTCTCTTTATTTGTAAATATTCACTGTTTTCCATCATATAACCTCTATCGAACATAAAATTCAAACACGTGCGGCCGATGTCAACACTCGAGTATATTTGAGCCAGAAACTATGCTCCTGTATAGAAGCCTAAACCTGAAAATTTATTACCTCACAAACATTTAGTACGGAATCTCACTATCCGTGATGTTGGTATCGTTTTAAACTGCCAGGCAAACTCGCACTGGCAGCAGAAGTGCATCTTTGATTTTTAGAGTATGAAAAGTTTAAGAATTAGGAGCAAAAAAAACATAATGATTGATGATCGAAATGATTGCTGGTATTTATCAACAATACTGGCAATTTTTATCAAAGATGCACTTCTGCTGCCAGTGCGCATTTTTTTTGGCTCCCGAAAAGAATTTTTTTTGCACGACACTGGCCTACCAAGTGTCATGGCCGTTTGTTTATTGTTTTCAGTTAGCTACTTTTTTACAATTTTATTGGATTATTATTCCGTTGTTTAGGGTTATTATGTCAGAAATAAATAATATTCAATAGCACCGATCTACTAATTATCGTAGTTTTATGTATAAATCAGTTGTCTTATCATAAATTGTGCTCAAGTATCAAAACCGTGAACACATTGTAAATATTTATTCTCCATTTTGTGTAATATTTATGCATATAATGTAATGTATAATTGTTGTAAGTCAAAGATTAAATTATAAGCTTTCTTAATAATTCATTTATTTAATTATTTATTCCTTTTTCGTTTTTGAATTTAATTTTTAATAATTTTTTATTGATTAGTTTGATTTTCAACCACTACGCGACGCTAGTTATTAGGCCGCAAGTGGTGGAATATTTTTGAGTTTGCCCATTTCGTGTTGCCGGTAATCATGAAAAAATATTTGTTGTTGACGAAATTGAGCATTTATAATTGTACAAAGAAGAAAAGAGACAATATAATTTATCCATAGCTCAATAGAATTAATTACAATTACAATAATTATCCTATGATTTTGATACATTTTAAGATCCAATATACATAAATGTCAACGGTTCTCTCTTTAACACTGTTTCTCCATTTTTCATAGAATCATTTTTTTTACTATTAGAACTACCACCAATAACGTATAATAATTTATTATCGCTATTAAAACATGAAACTGTAAAATAAAATATTTTACTACTTTTTTTAGGATTTTTTTGGAGTTCAATGACATATTTATTGGTGTCATAATAAAATATCATATTACTAGATTTTTTAAATTTTTCAATAACTGTTTTAGTTGTATCATTGAATAATACTCTCCAAGTAAACTCCACTACTTTATGAGGATCAATTTGAATGAATCCATCTACGATTTCAGCTCCTTCAACTGTAATTTGAATTTTATCATCTGGCTCAATATCATTATCAAAAACTCGAAATTGCAGTGTTCGATCTTCTGACGTATTATCAATATAATAATATATTTCAAATCCATTATGAGTTACAACACCCATTTCTACAACAAAACAATTATACATAATACTGAATTTGTATTGATTTCTCCAAAACATTAATTCAGGATAGACTAAACGCCCAATAAATGAATTTTTAATGTTTTCACACATATATGATTGGACAGTATAATCTTTTTTTTCTGGCAACAATTGTTTAAATCCTTCATCGACTACTGACATTATTCCGGGCTCATTTTTTAAAATTTGCCAAGTTAATGGATTGGGATAAACTCTTTGTGTTAAATACATTTTTCTGAGTTGTATCCAACCTAGAGCAAATTCTCCTTTATAAACTATGTCAGTTTCATAAGCAGCAATACCAGGTCTTTGAATACGTAATGAAAACATAAAACGTTCAGTTTTGAATAATCCAAGACCAATAAATGGTATTATTGCTATACCAAGCTTTCCTTTGATATCCCACCAACGTTTATGGACTCTATCACCATTGCGACCGAATAAACCGAATGTGGTGTATGGAATAGTAGGATGTAATAATTTCTCCAAAAGTAATTTCATTATTTCTCTCAATCGAGATTTACCATTAATAATTATAAATATTTCTTCATAAAAATTACACAGTGTAACTAGATAAGAATATGTTGCTACATTTCTATGGAATATATATGAACCATCTTCGTACATACCATTGGATACTTGATCAATGTTAAGAAAATTTACATTGTAAACATTACATAGATCTTCATATTCTTTGCTTTTTTTGTCTTTCTCGTAAGTTTCTCGGTCATATAAATAATTTGTTAAAAGACGCGGTAAAGCAATGTATGCTAAATTAGCCCCGTCTCTAAATATATCTAACGATTTATTTAATACTGGAATTAATCGGATTATATTTTTATGACACACATACTTTTTAATACAATCGTTATTTCCAACATATTCATACATAGTCATTAATTTGGGAATGTAAACTGAAAAGGGATACCAATTTGTACCCCATGGATATATCGTAAGTCCTTGATTATTCATTTTATCATCGTCATCCTCTAACACTACCATTTTACTTACATTTGTAAGAGCTTTATCAATTCTTAAAATGATATCTTCAACTATCTGGAGATATTTACATGGTTTGTGATTGTATCCATAATATTCTAATAATTTAAATCCAAATAAACACAACTGTTCAAGAGGAGTTACGTTAGAATCCCAATTATTGAATTGTTCATGTGGTGATTTATTGCCATGATTGAATGAATATTGATCGATGATTTTCATTTCAGAATTACTAAGAATAGTTTTTTTGACCATCGTGTCTCTAACTTTTTTCATAAACTTTCTTTCACTTCTATCATTATTCCAAAATACAAATTTGACAATGTTAAAAACTATTATAACATCAACAATTATTACTACAGCTAATAATGTAATGAAAGCAATTTTTTTTTCATTATAAAAAATACTATCTAAGCTTATTGTCATATACCCTAAATAACTATGTGGTGCTGCCATAATGAATCATACAACTGGTTATTATCTTATCTAATATAACGTATTATAATTTTTATAAAATGTCCTATTATAATAAATAAATTTTAACAATGAAAAAATAGTTCAATAATACGAACAACAAAGTAATAAATTTTTGAAAATAATATCAATGTATTATTTTTTCATTAATCATACATGTATGTAACTCGTGATCTAACTAGTAATTTTTTCTCTGGTGTATCTGAAAATATTTCCATAGTATCACTTAATTCACTCTTAGAACTACCTCCAAACATTTTAATCAATTTATCTTCATGATAGACATAAACAACGTAATTAACATTCGGTGTCAAAACTTTAATGATGTATTTATTAGAATTATATTTAAATTCCATATTTTTGGTAGTTTCATTTCGCTTTATTTCTACAGTATCAGTTTTATCGAAAACCATCTTTAAAGTCAATCCTTCTCTAGTAAGTTGTGCTAATCCATTACTGCTTATTGGTTCACAATGTAAAATAGGATTATCGTGATCTTTGACTCGAAGCATTAATTTTTTGCTTTCTGAATTATCTTTATTTGTACAGTAAAATATCTCTACACCATTGTTAGTAGCAACTCCCATTTCAGTAATGATTATATCGTCATAATATTCAGAAAGTTGATATTCATTCATCCAAAACATGACATCTTCATTTGGTACACGACCAATGAACGAGTTAATCATTTCTGTGTAAATATTCGATTTATCTTTTGTTGGTGTCAATTTAACATATGTATTCTGATTTTCAAATAAAATAATACCTGGCTCTTTTGTTAATAAATCCCATGTCAATGGTCGAGGATACATCATACCTTTAAGATATATTTTTCTCAATTGTATCCAACCAAGAGCAAATGTATCCTGACTATCTTTTGAGGGTTTGAAGTAAGCAGCAATACCAGGTCTTTGAATACGTAATGAAAATATAAAATTTTCATTTTTGAATAAACCAAGACCTATGTACGGCATTATTGCAATGCCAAGCTTTCCTTTCATATCCATGGTTCTTTCACCACTATCACCGTATAAACCAAATGTTACATATCCAATATTAGGGTGAAACAATTTATCAATTATTGGCTCTACAATGTCATGAAAATTGTAATCAATTCCAAAACAAGCAAATATATCCTCATAAAAACCTCGTAAAACAAATAAATTAGAATATCGTGCTACACTATTATGATATAAACATGAACCGTCTTCGTAAACACCATTTTTCGGTCCGTCAGCAGATAAATTGTATTTTATGTTATAATATGTACATAGTTCTTCAAATAGAGGGCTATTTCTTTCGTTTATATATGTTTCTCGGTCAAATAAATAATTACTCAATAGACGAGGAAGAGCAAACTGTACCATGTTTGAACCACTTTCAGTTTTGTCTAGTGATTTGTTTAATGCATGAATCAGTTTTGTAATTATTGGATGGCACACGTATCTCTTAATACAATCATCATTACCAATATACTCGTACATTACCATCAATCTTGGTATATATACAGAAAATGTATGACGATTTATTTTTTTGTCAGCAGGCTCTGAATTAGTATCTCTTCGATTCATTCTATTTTCAATACCATCAACATCATCTTCTTTTTTTCCTTCATTTTTTCCTTTGCCTTTCGTACCTTTCGGTTTATTTTTATTTGCATGAACAACATTTATTTCTAATAATCTATTAACTATACGAGCAACTCGTAATACAATGTCTGTGGATATTTTCAAACACTGCTCCAATGTATTATCTTCTGCATACTTATTTAACAATCTAAATCCAAATTGAATCAAATCCCGAATTTTAATATCATCATCGCTCCAACTTTTAGCACCAGCATCAAATAATGTTTCACTTTGATTAAATTTGTATTCGTTAATTCTTTGATAATCATCCTTCAATGACCCATTTTGTTTTTTAAAAGCTTGTTTAAATCTTAAAATTTGTTCATCATCAACAATCTTCATAGTTGTATCATTTGGAGTATTATTATAGACAAAGTAATAAAAATATATAAAAAGAACAAGACAAATTAACAAAATCAAACTTGTAATTATTTCAGAATCCATTTTTTTGCATATGATAATGTGTCTTCTTTAACTAATATAATAAAATTTTTTAAATTTTTGATTTTTCACTGTTAGATGAATGAAAAGAACTAAAAGATCTCAAACTATAAAAATACAGTCGAGAAAATTTGCGTAAAATTTACATTTTAAACTACTGCTATTATTGTTTATTATTAAGGCGCCTCGAGTGGGGCTATATAGAAGAAAATGAACTGATGAAAACATTAATTCTGATTAACTTTTTTAAATTTCCCTCTATACAGGCGAAGATATCTTTAGGCGCATTCAGCTACATCAAACCCACGTTACTACATGAGCATTGAAAACGATCTTTTATGTTTTTAAAACTAGCTATATCATCCTAAAGTATTGTATGTAATTCTGTTATCCACTTGTCATTCTCACTAATATTTTTATTAAATCATTGTCTTTCTATTAATTTGATAATCATTTTATCAAAAGATACTCCTTAACTTCTTAACAAAATGGTAAGTTATATTTTGTTTAACATTCAACATTCGTTTAGTAAGATCTTACAATCATTATTATCTGTTCACATGATTGAGGTTAGAATAGTTGACATAATAATTCGTTAAATTAATAAAGCTTTATAATTGTAATTTTACAGAGTTTCAATTTGCCACCCCTAAAAGCCAAAGCCTCAGTACCCGACACTTTTGAAATATCCTCTGGACACTATGGCATACCGAATCCTTTGGTCGATGGGTAAGTTTAATATATTGAACAGAATTATAATTATGGCTATCAAATAATGTATATAATTGATAATTTCAGTTTGGCAACAAATAATATAGGCTCTTCACATCCTTTAGAAGCTGCAGAACGCAATGTAAGTATTGCTGCATTGTTGTAAATATTTTTGGCATTTTTATCAATTAAATTATAATTCAGCGTATTTTTCCATTAGTTTCATCAAAATCAATTGCAACGAGAAATGACCATTTTAAGGAATGTTCAGGGTCTTCATGCTCCTTTACGTTTAGCAATGGAACTTAAATCAACAGAAAATATTGGTCGACTTCCATTCTTACCATCATCATCAGTTATGCGGGATATTTTATTGGGACGTGATGAAGAAATTGGGTAAGCTATAGATAAATAGTTTTTTTCAAATATTGTACATTTTAATATCTGTTTATTTATTTTAATTCCTCGATTAGATTTGAAGATGTATTAAATACTCCAGAATTCAGAGAACAGATGTTACAGCCTCATGCAACAGTAGAAAAAAAATTAGGATTCCTCTAAACATTTGGTAATCATTATTTTTAATTTATGATTATGTACGTTCTTCATATTAAATACATTACTGAATCTGAATAAATGTTTTGCTATAAATATAAATATGTTTGTTCAATGTGATAACATAAATTTGTCATTTATCTTCAATAGAGTTGTCTTTTGTTAGCAAATCTGTTATTCGAAATTTACTTATTTTTTTGACTTCTTCAATTCCATTATTCAATTCTACATCCTTTGAATTTTCTAACCTAGTTTTTATTGCCGAAAGTATTGATAAAACATTATTGTCTCGTACACATATTATAAATGGAAATGAGAATTTTTTTAAATACCTACGAGATCGACCGTTATTTATTACTTTAATAATTTTTAAAATCATCTATTCCAAAAATACTTACAGTTCATTTAATTTCATCAACTCTAATTTTTGTGATTCTGCTATTGAGTTGATCTCTACTAATTCTTGTTCTTTTCTTGATTCAGTTGTTAATTCCTCTTTATTTATTTTACCTTTTAACTGTGGATGTTTATTTAAAATATTTTCTTTTCCTGTTAACAAACAATTTATTATTATTATAATTGTAATATTATAATTGAGCAATCTATTTACCATTATTATCAAGTTGATTGAGATAATCGTTAAATACGTTTTCAACTTCATTAATTTTTATAAAAGGTCTCTTCAATGATACTTGATAAGATACTTCTAGACAATTTTCTATAATATTACTAAATAAACTAGTAAACTCTTCTGTTGATAATGAATTAATTTCTTCAAGACTATACGTTCTACTTGAACTCATTTCGAAAACTTAACAAAGGATGATGTTGTTCGACAGTGAATCAATAAAGACTGTACGAAGTTCAGAAAGTTCAATATTTATCACTATTTTCCCAGAGTCTTGATTTTCTTATCGTTAATCAATTCTTCCCAATACTAACAGTTCGATGAATAAAAATAAACATTCTGATTTAAATATATTTATTTTATAAAAAATACATATATACTATATACATGTTCATTATAATCTTAAATTAACTTAATCTATAATATATATTTGATTTATATATTTGACTTACTATTATCAAGAAGCATTAATACGATCTACTACCGTCTGTCATATATTATTATTTTAAAATTGTCATGCCAATTATTACTTAGGAATTAATATTTATGCTTTCAGCCTTATAGAAAAATGAGATGAGAAAATTTTTTAAATATAAAATCTACTTCTTTCAGACCAAGCATATAAATTTAATTTTGGAATTGCTTCATAATTGTCACAATCCTGAAGGTGATTTCTGAAAAAAATAAACAATAATAATGAACGTATTAATAGTACATTTAAAACTATTGTTGTATAAAAATATTTTACTTGTTGTCTGAAAGACTTAAAAATGCTTCAGGCTGCATTTGTAAGATATTATTTCCATTGTCACAGAAAATTCGTGCCAATGAGACTCGTTTTATTTCATTCAATTGTTCTAATACAAACAAAATAATCATCATCATTATTGTCATTACAAGTATTATTATATTGTAAATAAATCGACTTACCTGGAGTAAATGGATAAGGTTGAGATCTAGAATCATAAAAATATTTATCGGTTCTTCGAGTTTTGGCTAGTTGCTCCAAAAGTAAACATTTAAAAGTTGGTCCCAAAAGTGTTTGATTAGTATCTGACACCATTTCACTCATACCACCAACAATCAGATCTACATCATTTGGATCATCATAAAAAGCTTTCATCTTTTCTACAATCTGAAAAAAAAATCATCAAAAAATATTCTGTGTAAATTAACAAAAAATACATTTTCAAATCTTCATACGAACTTCTGATGGTATAACGTCTAAATAATCATCAAATGATATAGCGCTAGATAGGCCGCAATACTCGCGATAATAATTATAAGACGCGAGTCCATGATCTCGACCACGTTGGATATCCAAACTTAATACATCAAGGCCAACATTTTTACCACTTCCATTCGTTGCATTCAATAGCTCCGTTATCTAAAATGTACACACTCAACATGATATTCATACGCATGCATGCAACGATAGTACACACTATCCATCAATAACATTATTATTACGAATACAATCTTCAATAGACTGTAATCATAACTTAGGTAAAGTTCGAATCTTACATTAGCAACCATATTAATATCCTCTATGTTCCTCAACTGATTACTCAAACTGCGAATTAAATTGTCAAAAGTATCATCAACCTCAATAATACGTGGTTTATAAAAAAATTCTGACAGATGAAGGAGGGTTGAATTCAATCTATTATAGCCATTCTGTTTCCTGTTAAAGTTACCTTCTGTTTTGATAACATTTCGTTTTTTTTTATCTTTCAAATAATTTATGTATTGAAATACTGCTGTTACTGCTTCATTATTTACTGAAGGATCTTCGTGTGCTTTGTAATCGTACTTCTGGATTTTTTTAATAACGTAATTATCATCAACAATAATCGGCAACCATTCATTATAAGTAATATGTTGAATTTCAGCAATAACAATACGCCTTGTTTCTTCAAAAATTATATCATCAGTCCACAATGGATTTATTTTACTTAATTCTTCAGCAATCCGATTATGCTCACGATGCCATATTGTATGTAAGACTGCTAAGATTGGATCAATGTTTACTCGATCATCACCTGATCTATAGCAATTATTGATACCAGTTGGACATGGATCTGATACTTTTGTTGATGAAATATTTTGGCCATTTAATGGTAAATATTCTGTGTCATACTCGATTGATCGATCACCCCAGTCATCTGTTTTCAATTTTCCACCTTGGAAAGTTCTCAGCTCTTCAGATCGTTTTTTTGTTGAGCCGTAAATTGTTGAACCATCCAAAAAATGAGTTGCCTGATTCATTTGCTCAATTGGACCAAAAGTACAATCAACTTTCAAAGCTGAAAGTGATCGGACGTAGTTCATACATCTTATGTTATGCTTACTGTAAACTGGATCATCATCTGGTATCGAAATAGCTGCACAATCTGGATGAATGTATCGTGGTGATAAATTGTTACCATTAGTTTCACAACATCTTATTGGTTTATTCGTTCCAGTCATTTTACGAACTACAGTATGTGATAAATCGTGTGCAATAAATTCGCTCCACTGCATCAAAGCTAATGATTTAATACTGGCGATATTAATTTTGTTCTTTTGAGTTTCTGATAAACTTATACTGATAACTCTTGGTCCAGGTAGGAGATTTCTTCCTCTAACAGCATGTCTTAATTCTTGAATTCCATCATAATAGTTCGGAAACATTATTCTAGAATACGGCGTCAAAGCACTACCCCAACGTGGATTATTGATATTGTTACATGTACCATCAATGGTACGATAACGATTATTTATTGGACATTTAATTGAATTTTTGGATTTACAGAGCCTACCTAAACTTGTACCATCCAACTTTAAGGTTGATACAATACGCGCACATTTTTCATTGCTTAAACCATACCTTTGACAGTGATGTTGAACAAGGTATAATGAGGCTTTTGAAACAACGTCTGCATTAGCTTGTAAATTTAATGCATCTTCACTTGGATGTGAAAATAAATATTGATTATGTGATGAAGTATTATTATTTAATCCAATGTCTGCAGATACTAGATTAGCCTCAAGTCTTGACATTCTATTACGGATTGTCAATCCATAATTAAGAGATGCATTTAATGCAATTTTATCTATTTGTGCAAATGATAAAGCTGCATCTTGAGCACTTTTAAGTGTTGTTTGATTATAATCATCTAATGACCCTGTAATAGAAATAATCGCATTTAATTATCTGATAGGTATTTACTTTAATACAACGTTGACAAACGTTCTTGAATGAATATTATTTAACTTAAGACTTACTGTACGATCTATGGCTGCTGTCTTTCTTACCAGAATAGGTAGAATATTCAGCCATTAAACCATTGAGTGTGGTTTGAATCAAGATCCAAATTATCATAAACATTGCAAGTGAAATCGCCATCATGCTACCGGCTAAACACACAGAATAAAAAAAAAATTTTATCAATGGATATATTTAAATTATTTTTTAAAAATATTTAAATCATGTGTTATTGACCTAGATTATCCTTTACTCTCTCTACACGCAGGAGAGTCTTATGAAAAAAAATCATCAAATTATGCTCCATTTTGGCAAATAAACTTTTCATTCTCTTGATAGTACACATTTTATTTTCAATTTTATCAATGCTTCACTAAATTTAACATATTTTATTAGTCAATCATTAAAATATGTCCTCTCAGATTGAAAACCTTTTTAATTACATGTTAATTATCTTCTATGTTTTTATGTACACAAATGAATAATATAACAAATTAATCTTGATTTTACTCGACCCGTAGAATGTGCCAGAAATTGGCTCCCATGTACATCAATATCGTAAGTAAGCGAAACGTCGTACTAGGCGTTGGGACAAAAATATATCTGTGTGTATACATAGATAGAGTGGTTTTGTATGCGATAGTTATCAAAAGTATAGGTAAGTAGAGATTGCGAGAGAGAAAAAAGCAACCAGTTCAAATCAAGGAGATATATATAATTGATTTTTTTAATTTTTGTAGATATGTTGTTATAAAAAAATTTACCGCTCAAAATTATATAAAACTATATTTATTATCTAGAAGATATATTTTTAATTTTTGCGTAATTGTTAATTGAAAAGTTCAAGAAGTTCATGAATGTAAAACCGGTTTTTTCGCGCCATTTTTTACAAGATCAGCTGAAGATAAATGTTGTTTATACAGGAAGTAATTAGCAAATTTTTAATGTTTACTTACATATGCATTCAAATCTAATAATCTTGGATAAATTTACATGAATCGCACAATTGAAAAATAAAAAATAACACTCAATTAATTGATAATATTCTATGTGGACGTCTTACTCCAGATCCAACGAATAATTAATTTATTTAAATCTTCTGATCAACTTAATAGTCTTCTTCTATTGTATATAATATCCCACTCCTTTTATATATGAAATCCCCGCTATTAGAGTCTTATGTATGAAGAAATCATTTCTACAACTAATTTTGATGCTGATAATTCAAACATGTTTATGAAGTAAGCACTTAAATGACATATACATAAATAGTTTTTATCCAACACACCTCATTTAAAATATTCTGCATGATAAAAGATGTTTATAAAAAATTATCATCCATTTATTTACGATTACTATGGAATATATTACTTGATATATGTGCGTATATACTTACTTAATGTGAGGGATTTCCTTATCTAATCAATGAATGTTCATTTATTTGTGTCTTTGTTATCCATCTAAGTATTTTTATTCCTTTATTAAATTTCTTCGTTGTGGTCCAATTGCTCTATTTATTAATTTTAAACAAAAAAACAATACCTAAAATTCATTTTTTTGGAGATATTTTTGTTTATATATATCAAAATTTTAGTGCACTTATGCATGATTTTTAATATGAAACAATAAAAAAAATAATTTTTAGCTGATTCATCACAAAAGTTGTTAATTATTAGATGATCAATCATCAAGCTGTTGTGATAAAATATAAACCCATTCATTAAGAATAAGTTTCGTACATGTAGCGAATTTTAAATATAATGGAGTGGTAATAAAATTCTTAGAAATCTGATTGTCGCTCAATATATAACACATGTCGCGTTCTGGTATGGCGGTGTAGTTTGTAGTATCATCTATACGTCTTTCGAATTCTCACAGAATAGATAACCTTTTGAACATTTTCGTTATTGTAAATGAATAAATTCACTCAAGATATCAATTAATTTTGTGATTATAAATTTATCCAAGAATGTTTTCGTACCCTGAAGCACGAAGAGACGAGTCTTGTGTCGATGTTTATCATGGAGTAGAGGTTAGATTTTACATGCTTTGTCATTTTTTGAATTATCATTTTTATATGAAAAAGCTCATAATATTTACTATTGTGTATTTGTTTTTAGATCAAAGATCCCTACAGATGGTTAGAAGATCCAGAATCAGAAGAAGTGAAAGCATTCGTTAATGCTCAAAATGAAATTACAAGACCATTTTTAGATTCATGTTCTGTTTCTCAAGATATTCATGATCGTCTTAAACAATTATGGGATTATCCCAAGTATTCTTGTCCTGAAAGACATGGAGATAAATATTATTTTTATAAAAACACCGGTTTACAAAATCAAAGGTATTTTTCATTACTTCTACTATTTAAATTTCTGTTGTAGAATGACTAGCAAAAATATTTTATTGATAAATAAATGAGTTCTATCTTTCTATCAAATTTATTTATATTAAGAAATAAACAAGGCGCGTTATTAACATTTTGAAATCGATTTTTAGTGTTTTATACGTTCAAGATACACCACATTCCGAAGCAACAGTCTTTTTAGATCCCAACACCCTTTCAGAAGATGGATCAGTAGCAATATCAAATACCCAATTTAGTGAGGATGGATTAATTTTTGCCTACGGATTGTCTAGTAGTGGCTCCGATTGGAGTACTATTCACTTTATTGATGTCAAAACTGGTACTGAATACCCTGAAGTATTAGAGAAAATAAAATATTCAACAATTACATGGACACACGATAATAAGGGAATATTTTATGGAACGTATCTTGAACAGAAAGGAGTAACTGATGGTTCTGAAACTCTAGGAGCCAGAGATCAAAAATTATGTTATCATCGAGTGGGTACTACTCAAGCTGAAGATGTTCTTGTTGTTGAATTTCCGGAAGAACCTTTATGGAGAATGTATATTATTTGAATATAAAATTTTATATTAAGTCAATTAAAAAAAAAAAACTTTTCTACAAAAAAAACTCGATTTCTCTTTTCAGAGGAGCAGAAGTTACAGATTGTGGAAAGTATTTACTAGTAACACCTATGAAAGATTGTCGTGACAATTTAATTTACTTCACTAAATTGGAATCAAGTGAAAAGATTACTGGAAAGTTGTCTCTCACTAAAGTTGTTGAGAAATTCGAAGCTGATTATGATGTTCGTTTTATTTATATTTCTTTTGTATATTTTTTTAGCAATGAATAATAATTTTACTTTTTTTACAAAATAGTACATTACTAACGTTGGTTCTAAAATGCTATTCATGACGAATAGAAAAGCACCAAATTATCGATTGGTATGGATAAATTTTGATGATTATGCTGAAAGTAATTGGACGAATTTGATAGATGAAGATTCTAAAAGAGTACTGGATTGGGCAGTTGCTGTTCACACTGATAAATTAGTCGTTTGCTACATTGAGGATGTTAAGGTAAATTACATAGTATTTTTCTTGTAGTGATTTATTTAATAGTATCATTATATAAGTAAAGTTATCCACATTTAATTTTAAACAAAATTAATTGATGTTCTTAATACTTGACATTTTATATAATACTAAATTATTATTCAATTATTTAGCACATTTTACAATTACATTGTTTGAACACTGGAAAATTAATAAGAACATTTCCTCTTGATTTGGGCACAATTGTTGGATTCAGTGGAGATATCGATTATTCTGAAATATTTTATCAGTTTACTTCATTTTTAACTCCAGGAATCATTTATACACTGGATTTAGCTAAAAATGAAGAACCTCAAGTATGTTAAAAAATTTATCTAAATAATAATGTAATTTAAGAACTACATATTAAATTGAAAGTAATATTGAAAGTATATTGAATTATAACTTATTCAATTATTCAGGTATTACGAGAAATAAAAGTAGATAATTTTGATCCATCAGCATACAAAATGACCCAAGTATTTTATTCAAGTAAAGATGGGACTAGGATTCCTATGTTCATAGTAATGGGAGCGGTAATTATCAATTATTATCATTTTAACAATCAAATCTAGTAATAATTGTTTTATAATTAATATGTTTAGGATGCGGTGTTGGATGGATCTATGCCAGCACTTCTTTACGGTTATGGAGGTTTTAATGTTAGCCTTCAACCAACATTCGGAGTAAGCCGGTTGGTATTCATTCAGAACCTTCGAGGAGTATTTGCTCTTGCAAATCTACGTGGAGGAGGGTAATAATAATAAACTAATGAGAAATTAATTTATACAAAACATACTAGCCTAGTACCGTTCAATCATTATTTAAAATTAATACTGATAATTTCTTACAGTGAATATGGTGAGAAGTGGCATAATAATGGACGTTTATTTAAAAAACAAAATGTATTTGATGATTTCCATTGCGCTGCTGAGTATCTAATAGAACACGGATATACAACTGCTAAGAAATTAACTATCCATGGAGGCAGTAATGGGGGTCTTTTAGTTGCTGCTTGCATAAATCAACGACCAGAATTATATGGTGCTGCAATCGCAGAAGTTGGGTAAAGTATAATTTATGTGTAAATAACTTGTTTTTGAAACGAGTTGATTTTATTGAGTATACTGAAGTTTATAATTAAGAAATAAAACCAATGCTTTATCATTAGTTTGATTCAACAAAATGGAAAGAGTCTTTTAGTAAAGAAAACATGAAAAAGTATTATTGATAACCAATACTACTAATTAATAATTATTAGAAATATAACCTTCTAATCAAAGGCTAACGTCTTATGATTTTTATTTTATTTTACAAGTTCATGAAATCATAAAAAAGAAAATATTTGATCTAAATTTTTTAGAATTTTATAATTCGTAATCCCTGATTAAGACAAATCAGAATTTTTCTTATCTCAATTATATCAGCGTAATGAACTCTTAATTTGCGCTAGACATGAGTTCAAAAATTTCCATTATAATTATCTAATAAAGCCAACATGAAAGGGGGCAATTTTTATATTTAGAAATTAATCTGAATATTATATATGACATTAAAAAATACATTTATTAATACTCTTCAATTTTTTTTTCAGAGTAATGGATATGTTGAAATTCCATAAATTCACAATTGGATATGCATGGATTTCTGACTATGGAAGCTCTGATGATAAAGAGCATTTCAAATATCTTCTCAAATATTCACCTCTACATAATGTTAAAATTCCTGAAAATAATATCCAATACCCAGCCACACTTTTATTAACTGCCGATCACGATGATCGTGTTGTTCCATTGCATACTTTAAAATTAATTGCTACTCTTCAATATACATTGGGAAAATTACCACAACAGACAAATCCATTAATGGCAAGAATAGAAACTAAAGCAGGCCATGGACGTGGTAAACCTACTACCAAAATTGTATGTGATTAGTTTAAAAAATGCGTCACGCTAATTATTACCACATAAGTGTCTTGTTATTAATTGACTTTCATAATACTTTTTAGATTGAAGAGAAAAGAGATATTCTAGCATTTATGGTGAAGACGTTGAATCTGAAGTTCTACAAGTGAAGATGAAGACCAAAATTGGTATTAACAATATTTCTATTATAAATTTACTCCAGTAATACATGAAGTCAATGAAGTTGGTTTCACTCAAATAATTTTATTTCAGATTCAATTTTTCATCATTTCAAATTGTGTGTCGTAATGTAAGCATTGAGCTTTGAGTAATCTTACACAAGTCCTAGGCTTCTGCAACCTCCTATTCATCTATTACTAAAATGTTAAGATAACTAAAAAAAAGGATAATCAATTGATATGCATCCGTAAGATGTTAAAGTCAAAGTTCATGAAAAATTAATCATGTTAAAAAATTTTCTAAATAAAGAAGAAAACATTAAAATATAATCATTTTTTTGAATTATGAATTGAGAAAGATTAATTGGTGTTAAAAAACGTGTATGACCACCACGATGAAATTTTCATATAGTAATGATATGATAGATTTACAAAGTAAGCAAGAAAATTTCTTATCGCTGACCTTAATAATCATCACATCCCCTCCTAAATATAAAGCACAAATGGGATGAAAATGTATGAACGATAAACGTAGGTACTCGAGTTCAAAAAATATAAAAAATTAAGATTGACCAATAAAAGTTATGTATGTGTCACATGTATATACTAATCGTGTGTCAATAGAATATATCTAACACATGTATGACATAAGATAAAATTATATAGTACATTGTATTATACAAGAATATCAAAAACATTGTTTTATATAAATATATTTACATAGAACAATTTATTTTATGTACATATTCCATGTGTTAAATGATAAAAATTTTTTAAAATATTCTATTCAAATAAATTAAATACTTATTTTTATTATTCATTTTTCTTGAACAATTGATTGAAATTTGAACTAATAGCTAAGTGAAAAGTTAAAAAATCTCGATTTCATCAACAGATTGATCTGTAATTTTTGTATCAATACGATGGATGCATGTGCATCGGCTACAGAAGGGGGGGGGGAATACGCACACGCGAATCATATGTGAGCGAGGGCAGTGTCACTGCGCACGGACACCACGCAGATCAGCTGTACTTTGCGCTGTCAAGTTTGATAACCTCGCGAAACCTTTTTTCCACTACCTAGCACACAGACTCTTCATATAATACGAAATTTACTGAAAGTACTAATTATTCATTAAAGTCACATCAGCGACTCGATATTATAGTTCTGCCACTTTTATATACAAGTAAATATTATCATTTATTCAATGGTTAAATACAAATAATTAAGACTTTTAGTTGTACTTCGAGCCACGAAGTAAAAAGTGTTGGCAACTTTTGGTGTCTGAAGATATTATTACGAAACAGCTATATTTCGGAGCTTACTTTAATTTTGGTATTCAAAACCTACTACTTAGAGCCGTATATTATTGATTAATCTATTCTATTCAAACTGTCAGTACACAGAGGAATGCAAAAAGACTGCCGAGACTGTTTGGGTATCCGATACCGTATCAATACCCTGGATCAAACTTGGAAGTGGCTTCATCAAACCATTGCTCTTCACGATTATCTCATCTCTATTACAGCAAGTCAAAGTGACGTATCTATGTCTTGTTTTCATTAGAATTTTGCAATTTATCTAGAATAGAAAAAAGCAAAACATTGAAAAATAGTCTACATATGATATAGCAGATATAAATAATCAAGAAAAATAAAATAAAAAGATTAAGTGATATTGCTGTGAAAAAATTATAAAGACTGATCATTAACATATAAAAATAAAAAAAAATTACAAAAAATTATTATTTTGTAAGTAATTTTGTATATTATTTTGATAAAAGACTGATTAAAAAAATTCGATTCAAGAACATGGCTGTTGTTGGGAGAAGACTTGTTAATGTTTTGAAAAGCAAAGGTTTACCTAATATATCAATTTGTCAAAGTCTATCCATGGGCACAAATAAAAATGATAGCAATGTTAATATTGTTGATGAAAATTCGATTAGAAAATCAGTTTTTATATCACAATCGAATGATATTTTTACCAATTTGGCCCTGGAAGATTGGTTTTATCGCAATTATAGTTTTGCAAATCACCACGTACTACTCTTATGGAGAAACAATCCATGTGTGGTGATTGGACGTCATCAAAATCCATGGCTGGAATCAAACTACCAAGCTTTAGATGATGATGGTATTGCACTAGCCAGACGCAACAGTGGTGGTGGAACAGTTTATCATGATAGCGGAAATCTTAACATGACTTTCTTTACCCCACGTCAACAATATAATAGACGCTATAATCTTGAGATAATTTCAAGAGCTTTGTATCGAGAATGGGGTCTAAAGACTTATATTAATAAACGAGAAGATATAGTTGTTAATGGTGATTATAAAATATCTGGAACAGCTGCTAAATTGGGTCGTCCTAATGCTTATCATCATTGTACACTGCTAGTTGATGTGAATAAAAAGAAATTGAGCTTAGCATTAGAAAGAAAGGAGGTAAATACTTCATTCATCATCTTTTTTATTATATAAATTATCGTTGAATATGTGTTTTAATTTTATCTTCATTCTCTTTTATTTCAGCAGGGAATTGTTACTAATGCTACTGAGTCTACATGTTCACCCGTCAGAAATGTAACTGACCTCAATTCTCATATCCAAGTAGGTAATCTAGTAAATGCTATCGGCTGGGAGTACCTTCGTACTAAGGCCCTAACATTAGAAGATGGAGGAAATTATCTCGTTCAGCAACAAAAAGGTTTTCAAATGATCAATCCTACTGAAGATTGGTTCCCAGGTACACTTTCCAATTGAATAAAAAATACATTTATAATTGTAATTTTGATATAAGTGAAACATTATCAAGTATTTTTTGTCATTACGGAATAAGTAGAACAGACAATTGAAAATTTCAAAAAGTTTTGGTTAAAAAAAAAATTTCTGGTAACTTATTATTGATTAAAATCACTTTTAAAAATTATATTATATACATATTACCTTGACATAAATCAAAGCTGAACATTTAATCTATGTATTTACACATACATTCTCGATTACAATCGTTTAAATATTATAAAATAAGCTATTCTAATAATTACAATTTAATTATAAATGATAATTATATTTTTTTATGCTCACTTTTATTTACTTAGTTGATTTTATTCAGGTCTTAATCAACTTAGAAGTGAATTTAAATCATGGCAATGGAACTATGGGAAATCGCCTAAATTCACGATTAATCGATTACTTAAAGTGCCTGTAATAACAAAAAAGACAACCACAACTGACCCAATTGCTAACGAACACTATCATTTACTCAATCTGACAATTCAAGTGAAGAATGGAATAGTCGAGGATATAAAACTGGGCTTACCCTCGGATTTAGTGCAAGAAACTACTAATCCCGAAGCAAGTGTAATAAGTAATTTTCGAGGTACAAAGTACAATCACAAAGTAACTGATAAAATCATTTCTGCACTTGGATGTACATGTGTACCTGTTGATGTTACTCAAAATATTAAAACTAATAATATAGCAGCGACACAATAAATATTTATCGTTATATTATTATTCTTTTTCTTAAGAACAATCTCAAAAAGTATAATAATATATTAATTAGTAATGACTTATTTTATACAAAATAAATTGTAAATACTATTGTACATCAATAATTGTATAAATAATTATTCTTGTTAATATTAAAATCTGTGGTATGTTTAGTCTCCATTTTGTCTACGCTTTCATCAAAGCTTTGGCAGAGTTACATAGTCAGATATTACGTAACTACACAAAAATAAATATAAACCATTGAGATGGTAAAGAACCATTTACATTTGGTATTTTTAACGTTTTTTTGATAGTCAATATACCTATAATGAAGAAATCATTATATACTAATGTAATTGCTACTGATTCATGTTCTTTGTTTCGTATTAAACTTTTATGACTTATTGTTTAGTTTTTTCAATTCTTTTTGTCTTATTTACTGTCTATTACTCATTAATTTATTTACTGAGATGTATTAATCATCTTTGTTTTCTTCTATTATTCTTTCCTCTCTATCTTTCTTCTACATTTCGGTACATCAACTAAATTCTACTGCATTTATCCCTAAATTTGTTGTTCGGCTTTTGTATTAATATTACTACCTTTTTGTAATCAATACGAATGAATAAGACAAAGAGTCAGAGGCATTGAAATTAAATGTTCATGTCGATGTGCCTTGATGATAAAAATATTCGACAGAACATGTGGAAGACATATTTGTGTTCTCGTGTTTTCACTTAATTTAAACTTTGGTAAATTATCTTCCTGATTTTGGGGAAAACTTGTGTCCATACTCGCATTGTTCTGTGGAGGCAAAGTCACATAAAGTGAACAAGTTGAGAGAGTGTGAGTATACATGCGCACAGAGAAGTAAGAGTGAGAAAGGAAGAGAAAAATTAAGGAGCGAAAGAGAGAGAGAAAGGGAAAACATGCACTTTACTGTTGCAGACTCTCCAATGTTGTTTGTTTCGTCACTGGTGTTTCCAGCTGACATACCGAGACCGAAATGAAAATGCGAAATTACGACAATAATATTGTTGTCTTTATTTATAAAAGTACAGTAAATAAATGAAGTTTAAAGAATATTTGTAACTTGTTGATTGTAAATATTTCCGAGGAAGCATCTACTGTAAATAATTACAACAGTTATATCTTATTTTTCCTCATATATCAAATGAAAATGGTCGGTGTTAAAATCCAATGTAAAAGAACGTATTTCTTAGAAAAGTTGAAGGTATAGAATATTGTAGCCGCATAAGGGTATAGTAGTAAAAAATAGTATATACACTCTCACTATACAGTACTATATATATATATTATCGTAGAGGGGAGGTTTAAATAAAAGATTTTTCATTCTCTCACTCTAAAATCATGTCGTCACAAGCCGACAATGATCTTAAAATGACGTTTCAACTTTTTCCTTATCTTTGGAAAACTAATGAACACAAAGGAAATAAAAAAGTAATTTTCATTAAAGGAAGCAATACTGATAAAAAACATCAAATTAGTAAAAAAAAACATTCTTATATAATAGTAACAGTAGAATCTATAAAAATATGTTTTAAGTTGAGAAAAGCGAAAGTTACAAAGGAATAATTTTAGCTGTCAGTATGGATATTATACTGTCAAAGTAACAGTTTTATAGAATTAAAAGATAACAAAGCATGTAATTTAAGAAAAAGAATCAAGACAATTGAACAAAGCCGCTCTGAAAGTACGATTAGATGTCAAAGCTCAATCCATGTCGTTGTTGTCGATGGCATCGTCATTGTCATTGACGTCGTCCATCGTCGATGCTGCTGTGTGTTTAGTTGGACTGTGTAGTAGGATAAGAAGAGAAAATGGAAGGTCTTGGTGAGCAGTTAGCTTTGGATTGGATCTAGTCTACGATTTTTCGTTATTGCTGTCTCTCTCGGTTGGCGTCCTCGACGCGTAGCCTGACCAATAGGAGTAAGTAGGTCAGGGTAGCGCACCAATAAGAGTACGAGGCCGGGTCACGTGGGTTTGTTGTTATCTATCAGCTGTTTTTCCCGGGTGAGCGGGCGACCGGCCGGCGGACGCAGTGAAAGCCGCTTCTAAGTCGTGCCTTCAGTCCCACCCGGTCCGCTCAGCTGTGCGTCACATGTTGATAGAACATTGGCCCATTTTTTTCACTTTGTAATTGTTTTATTTAATCAGTTTATTCGTCATTTATTGTATAAATCCTTTATGTTGAAAATATTATGCGTAAGCATAGTGCAACATACAATATTATCATTATTTGTGAAGTTGAAAAAAGTTATCAAGTGAAGAGAGCGTCGTGACAAATGCCAACGCACGTTCCTACCGCAACAGTGAAAACGCTGTAGGTGGTAACAGATTGTTGGTAAAAAGTGATTCTTATTCTTTCAGAAATTTCACTGATTTATATTTGACAAAAATAAAACTACAATATTTAAGTGCTTTTGTTGGTGTGACTCGTAAACAAAATGTCGAAAAAAGTGCAGACGTTATCACGCAAGGAAAATATAGAAACAATAATCCAAGCAATAATACTATAGCGTTGTGTTTTTATAAGAAGAAATAAGACTTGTAGTAAATTGTAATAATTTTAGTGAATATTTATTGGAAAAAAGTGTCAATAATGTCGACCGGAAAGAGATTAGCCAAGCGTAGCATCATTGGTACGAGGGTATGCGCTCCAGGAAGTGATGGGAAATATTACAGTGGTGTTATTCATGCTGTAAAGACACCGGCATCGGCCTCGCCGGAATCTGGCCTTCGAATAACCCCTAAAACTCGTTATTCAGTACATTTTGACCCTCTACCTGGAGATTGCCGGCCGCCAAGCCCTAGCACTGAGTATGCAGATCGTGATCTCATCGGGCCGGGCTTCGGTTCTGTCACTAATGCGCGTCTCGTACCTGGACAGAAAGTATACCTGACTTATAATGGTAGAGAAATCCATGCCGAAGTAACTCAGCACAAGGAGCACCTTGAAGAAGTTGAAGTTGCCATTGGTGGACAAGAAGTGAGTATAAATCGTTTATCCTAACTTGGAAATTTTTTTTTTCCATCTTTTATGAGCTCGGTACTTTTGAATAAATGAAGGTGTCATTGTTATTATATCGTCTCTACTATTAAATAGGTCACCTATTTACGGAGGACGATTCTGCGCACATAGTTTGGCCTCCCTTGACAACAAATATAGAGCGCATCAGGGCGCATATCAACATATTTGTTTCTGCTCATAAATTTATTCATATATACCTATCTATATATACATATATATAAATAAAAAGCCGTTACGAGAGTGTAGAGCATAAAAAGAGAAAGAAAACTGAGTAACCATAACTTTCTAAGTCCCGCTAGGTGGGCGCGGTTATTTTTATATATTTTTTTCCAACTTCCTAAACTTTTTACAGTAATCATTGGAAATTACATAGTTTCATTGAAGTACGCAGCACAAATAAAAACAATTTGCCATGATGGAAATGTAACAAAGAGTAAAATAAAACAAAAAATAATGAATAGTGTCATGGTAAAATAACTATCAAAGACTTATTGAAATTGATTAGGCAAGCAACTCCTTCGTTGCTTAAGCGAGAATCCAAAGATAGATTTGTCGTAGTTGGTTGTGGGATATATAATAGTAGAGAATAGAATACCGGCCGGCCGGCCGGCCTAGTCTGCCGGTCTACAAGTAACCAACCAACCAACTGCCAGCTGCTTCCTTGAATGTTTCTCCGAGTTAGGCCGGCTTTACGTAGCATAGTATACACTGTAATACGTATATATGTATGACAGAGGAATCCAATCTAAGTAGCATACCGTTTGCATGTCTTGGCGCGCCTACATACGTACAGTATATTCTTATACATAAGTGCATCCTGGCAAGTGTAGTCATCAAAGTAAAGAGTAAAAGAGTTTACTTATATACATATTAGCTTGCTTGAGCCGGTACAGCGTTCAAGAGAATGCTTACGATGCTGATGCGCAAATGTGTTGAATCCCGTTGACGTAAACACTCGGCACACAGTGGCAATGACGTCATTTATTATTATCCGACTAGTTTCCCCACTATTTTTCCTTTTATTACGCATTCATTTTTGGTATTTTTGCTTATAAAGATTATTAGATTACTGGTAATACATTCTCTATTTTTCACTTTTTAGTCTGGAAAAATTTCCTTTACACATCAGTAGAGTTAATTTGTTTACTGTTAAAATATGAAGTTATGTAATTAAACCGGAAAGATCGTTTTGAATATATTCAATACTTTCAAATTCATCAATTTTATATTGTAAATAAATTAAGTATGATTATTACTTCTCACTTACTTGTTGAATATTAACTTTTGATCGTGTTTAAATTATTATCAGCTCATATGAATTTTTTTTTTCATTTAAATTAATTATTTTTACAAAGTTTTCTTTGCATTTGTTGAACGAATATTTGTAAAGTAATCAAGAACAAAGTATCGAAAATAAGGCATATTTGTTTCTTTTCTCCTCATTAGGTGTTTTAATTATCCCAGAAAGAAAATAAAGATTTGATGTAACAGGTGTTCTGAATCACGTCACATAATATCATTTACTCAAACTTTTATAAATACATATTGCATATCTGTATATATTTATCCAAACCATGAAAATCACAAGATCATATTTTAAAAGAAAACTCCTATTTATAAATACCACCTATTCAAAATAAATAGAAAAAACAATAATTTGTATATTAAATGATTTATTCTATTTTTTTAGCAACCATTAAAAATAACAAAACGCATCGACGAAATCCGACTTTTGGAGTCACGAAAAAGCGCCAGATTAGCTGATCAAGATACCGATTTTGCTCGATTAGCAGACATGGCAGGAGATCGAAAACGTGCTTCGTCTCATTCTATAGATGTGCCACATGTTCCTGGGTAAGTTTTATTTACTAAAAGCTGAGTTATATTTGCTACACAACTTTTCCTTTTCTTCAATATTTCATCATCATTTTCACCTTTAATATCATTTTTATTTATCATCAATTTATGTCTGATTATTGATGTAGAGTTTTTGTCGTTTTTTAAACTTACAGATGTGAGAATGATACATGAAGAATGTATTACATGAACATCGCTGACAATTGAGTCAGTAGGTTAACTTATGTAATTTCGGTCGCGGCAGTCACTATAATAATATACTCCTCTTGTCAGCATGACATTATGTACAGGGAATAAGGAAAAGAACCGAACGGCGTAAAAGAGCCGGCCGGTTTCTTGAAATTAGGTCAATCAATAGTGCTCATGACTCGTGAGTTACATGCATATACATATGGGTCAAGTGCAATATCACAAAGATATTTCCTTATTGATTAATTTTTTACAAAAATGCCTATTGTATTACCTTTTATCTAGACTTTTAAATGACTAGACGTTTTATCAAGAACCAAGACCAAGATTGATCAAACATAGAAGCTAGAATAAGTAATTAAAAAAAAAAGTACTTTTTGATGAGCAGCAGCAGTAAAAAACTCCATTTTGTACTGAAATAACTGAGCATTTAAAAAAACCCACAAGTGTTACTTGTGAACGAATAAGTTTTATGGTTTTTGCGGTGTAAAATATATTAGATACCTTTGTGAAGGAGAAGGTCAGGAGGGGGATAGGAGGAGGGAGTTAGAACGACGACAAAATTACAGGGTCGTTCTTTGCTAGGCCAAGCAGATCGAGGCCAATCGATGCAGCAGCTGCGTGTATGTGTGTAGTCATAGATATACAGATTCACAGCTACTCTAGGGACACACCATTATATGCAGTAAATGGGTCACATTCTAACTCTTATGTATCCATGATACAAACACACCATTAATCTGTGATACAAGCTTGGAGGATAGTTGAAAGAAAAACGCAGTGGAGGAGAAAGTAAATAACTCAGTAGAGTGTAGTAAAATTTACTGCGTAAAATTGCGTACAAATACATACTAAACATCTGCATTAGAACAAGGAAGAGGAAGACAGAAAGTGGGACAAAGCATCGCACGAGTGATACGAGTGTCCTATAGTTTACATTAGTAAGCTGCCTAGCGCATGCTACTGCTGCTGGCACGTGCACTAATACACACGTGCATTTAACGTCAGTGTATAACATATTCTGGCACAGCTAAGCGAATAAATGTGGCACATGGCGTTGCTTCAATAGATGCACTCATAGTTACGCAAAAAGTACTGACTATCAATTTATTTTAATTATTTCAACAGAATTGAATATTTTGCTGTACTTATAATAAATTAAGTCCAATGTTGGTATCTAATGGGGCCAGTTTTACTCTTCCTGTTGAAATGAGGACACGAAATAGGTCACACTATTTGAGGGAGGTTATCCAGGGTATTTGTGACCGAAAAGCAGTCGCTCGATCCAGGTCGACCTCCGCAAAACTTCCGCCTCGCCCCATATACACGACCTAATTCTCTAGGTCTCGCAGTCTATATATTCTGGAGATACATATATACTATGAGCACTATGAGCAACTAGGTCAATGCTGCTAGCAACAATTACGAATAAAGTCAGAATTTACTCATTGGTTTACACATGATGATTCATTATGTTTTAGAGAATTGGATTCATTTTTGTTGGCCAGTAGTAATTGATGCAGTAGGTTGAAATGAAAGAAAAAAAGAGAGAATTTAAAATTCAGTTGAAGACATTTAAAGTTACTGACCTAGTTGGATGCCAGGGAAAGTGAGCAAGGATATATTATGGCCTTTTATACGTATATTTGGTATTTTATCTTTCTCTTTTCATTTTTTTTTCTTCTACACATATATGTGTAAGAAATTTGGATAGTAACATGAGAGAAGCAGCATTGAGCGCATTTCACCGACCTACTTTCCCAGATTACCTTGTCGTAATATGACACTGTTTCGTAAAACTCTTTCACGCGCATGGTCGAGATTTTGCAACAATTAGAAAGGGCAAATGCCTACATAATGAGTATTACTGAGTAAAAAATTTTTATTGATAATATTAACCCTTATTTTCTGCCGCCCACGTTTTTGAAGAGTTCATATCCATGGGTCAGCTTGCATAAAGAAATTAATGGAAACGGAATTTATTTTATTTTTATAAAAACCAGTCTTCTTACTATGGATGAAATTTTTGTTGAATGTTTAGTTTAGCTTCCTTTCTAAAAAGTTAATATGGATATTGATAATTATATAAGATTATAGAAATGAAAATGGTATGTAACAATTTCGATTTATAATGAAATTTCCAATTGTGAAAGAAGCATAGAAGAATTTTTAAATTATTAATTTTTTAAAATTTTACTCTTCATGTTAACACAAAACCTGTGATTTAATTTAAGCGAAATTAGTCATATGAAAGTGTAAAATTTCTTTACTAATTATTATCATGTGTACACATTCATCCTTACCACGTAATTAAGATTAACAGTTATCGAGTCTAGTCTTAAACAATGATAATTAAATGTGAAACTTTTAAGGATTTCTAGCCTTGTTATAGTAACACTTGGAATATAATAAAAGATTTCTAAAAAAATTTTCATTGCTATCTCATATATGTAAGCAGTAAAATTGAAAGTTCTTTCCCAATTAAAAAATCTTATTACATCATTAATCATGACATTGTAAAAATAAAAACATTTTATTTAATTATTTCATCATTATTATATTCATTTGGAAAAATATTTAAATAAAATTGTAGCCTTGAACAAAACCTAGCTTTCTTTTCACAAGTTATTTAAATTGCTTGACAGATCAAGGAAACGTCGACCAAGTTCGGGTAATGATTCAGACCGTTTATACCCAAATGGCTGGCTAGTAGATGGTAATATAAAATTTGGACATGGACATGGATGTGGACGTGAAGGATGTCGCACAAATGAACGTGGTGACTGCATGGACGAGTGTACAGCCGCCCTCGTCTTGATGTCATTGTCATGTTCACCACATAGTCCTCACCATTCCTTTCAGCCAGCTCACTGCCAATCCAACAACAGTAACAATAGCATTAGGAACAATATCAACACTAGCAACTATCGTAAGATTTTTATTTATTTATATAGTATAATTATGTAATTTTATCACTTGACTAAAATGTCAAGTAAGGGGAAAGTTGAGTGAATCAGTAAGTTAATAAAAGGTTATTGGATGGGTCAAGGAGGAGATACCGTCATCGTGGGATCTCCTGGAGCCAGTGGTACATCGAATAGTAGCAGCAGCTGTGATGCATCTTGGCGCACTGGAACCCCTTCACCGCCATTAAGTGATGAGGGTGCGCCTTCACAGGCAACAGCATGGCCAAATTCTCGTAATGCTAGGAGTAGCAGTGCTAACACTACTCCAACCTTCCAGAATCAACATACTTTTGTGTTTAATCTGTCCGGATCATCGGGAAGCACTCCCAATTCTGATGAAGGCATTGTAACTGATTACCTTGAGGAAATGCACCCTAGAAAAAAGAAGGTTAGTATTCTATTTATGTTTTCTTTAAACGTAGAGAAAATTCTGTTTTGAATTATAAAAAATACGTGCTGAGGAATAATCTTCCATTCTAATTATTTGATGAATATTTATATTTTTCTTTGTATAACAAGTATTCGAAAAAAAAATGCTTTAAGTGAGAAAAAAAATTTCTTTTAATATTACATAGTATAAATCAAATCAATTATTTATTATTACTAATTTATTTATACATATAGACAACGTAATTTCCACATATTTCACTGTTTAAGATTATTTAATTTTTTAACGAAACTGGTTACTTAATAGAAATTAATAGTTTCTAATCCACAAAACACCTCAACACGCGAGGAGTTTTTGATTAGGGATCCGTTTTAAAGTAGTCACATAACATCCTAAAATAACTCGTGAAGATTTGAGATCCCCATGAAGATTTTCTAATTAATGAGTTCTTATCTATTTTTACTGTCATGTTATTCAAAAATAAAAATGGTTTTATGGACATGGATTTAATTATAGAATAGCATCTTTTTTCAAAATTAAAAAACGTGCTAAAGTTTAATTGAAAGAAATCATGAAAAAACATTAATATTTTCTTTCTCCGATTATGGTAAACTTATTTAATTTCAGGAATTGTTATTGATAAGATTCAAATTTTAAAACAATTCTAAAAAATAAAAATAATTATTGAGAAAAAAGCATATTTAAAGAAAATATTTACAAATAAATGTTATACAGATAAAAAAAATTGCAATGACAATAAAAGAAACTTTAAGAAAGGTTATTTTTTATCTACTAATTGTAACTCAAAATATCTTATCAATAAAATGGAATTTAAATATACAGCTCTTTCTAAAGTGATTATTGAATTGATAAGAAAATTTATATAAATTTTTTTGTTAACTTTACATATCATAAAAAAAAATTGACGCTTTATAAAAATTGATAATGATAAAGTCAAACATATTTCAATATTTTTTTTATGTTAAAGAAAAAAAGGATTACGAGATACTTATTATTGGTTAAAAAATTGAAAATGAAAAGAATGTTTTTTAAAAATTTTATTCTGCTGTATTTTGAAAGGTTTCATTAATCATTACAATTAGCTTTTTAAAATCCAATTTATTATCAGCTATTTAAGTTGGTATTAAGCTTTTATTTAATTTTTTTTGGAAAAAGCTCGCCATAATTTACAAAAAAAATTTAACTAATTATTATTCTGAACTCTAAAAGCTCTTTAAGAGCTTTTTAATTATAAAAAATATGTATTTATGCACAATGATAATTTTTCATCATATAACGTGATCATGCTGGGTGTGTTTTATATCCTAAGAATAATAATTCCTAGCAGGCTTTTAAATACGCACAGTATGCGTCAGTTTTTTGCGGAGTCGTTTTACTTTCTGAAGACCTACCTTCAGGTAAATAAATTCACAAATACCAGTAGCGTGAATGGTCTTTAAATCGTCCGTATGGCCTTGACATCACTTTCGCGGAACTGACACTTGCGCGGTTCGTTGACCGTCCTCGAGACATGTATATATACACACGTATATTGTCAATAAATAGATGCATATTATAAAAATTAATATAAAAATAATTGTTTCAATGGTTCCGATATACTATTATTAAATAAATAAATTGGGTCTTTTACAGAGAGAACACAAAAATCAACCTGAAGAGCGTCCGAAAGACTATAGCAAGACTGGATATGATTTTGAAAAATGTATTTCGGTAAGTGTGCTAAATAAAAATTCAACTAATAAAGATACAAATAAGGAGAACAGTAGTACAGTCATGATTCACTGAGCCTAGAGTAGAGAACTGGAACAAAGGAAAAGGAAATGTTTATAAAAAAATGAAATGTAGTACAAATGTTAGCAAGGTAATCTAAGCGTAGATGCATTGCACTGCATGTGACGTCATTGCTGGCACGTGTCGTCTCTCGATGAGGCAGATCACAGTGGTCGGCGGTCTTACATAGTACATAGATAAGAGACTATGCAAGCTCGCGTGCAAGGTAAAGATGCCGGTACTAGTGGGGATAAGTTAAGGTCACAGCGGCCCTGACTAGACTGCAACTGCATAAATGAAAATTTTTAATCCTGCTATTGAGATATACTTAACATTCGTATTTACAATGAACTCATTAAATTAAGTATAACTGTAGATGGGTTGTCCACTTGAATTATTTCTCTGATGTTTAATATACCATTAAAATACATCAAATGATTGTTTCTGAATTCAATAAACCAATCGTTGCGAAGCTTTTCTTTCATCATACAAATGAATATGCATAACAGCAAATCATGTGAATAGTTGCAAAAGATTTCGTTTTAATTCTAGAACAATAGTAAACACAATAAATTGTGTCGATGACGTTGTATAATTCTGGCCTTGATATTCAAACTAAGCAACTACCTCGGATACTCTTGTGTGGTGCAGATGAGGTCACTAATGTCCTTGACTAACAGCTAGATCATCAAGGCAAACCGCGTGGTACACACGACATCTATGAAATGGGAAAAAAAACATTCATATTTATCAATAAGCAATTATGTCATTTTTTAAACACTTTCCACGTAGATAATTACAAAAAGCCAACATACCAGTCAGTGAATGTTGTTTATTGCAGTAAGATTTATGAATATAGCTATAAAGCTATGGTTTTTTTTTTAAAAATCCTTCAAGTGTGACTTGACGAGTGAGTCTAGTTCAGGGCAATGGTAGTGGCGTAGGCAACTATATCTATGCACTAGTGCCGTTACGCAAGTACAGTTTCGACATAAAAGCGACGGGCAAGCATGTACGCCTGCAGGTGACTTTCTCTCTTGGGCTAATGTCGACAGTTTTGTAGTGCACCAAGCATGCGTACCGGTATACATATACCGTTCACAATGGTTTACACATACACCACTGTTTCTATCTACTGTATAAACTATCATTATTCTTATAGCCCTTGTATATCAACTATCAAACCTATAATTAGGTACATAGATTTCAGAATGCTAGAAAAATTATCATTACCTGATATGTCCATGATATAGGGTATATTTGATAAAAGAAAAAATTGAAAATTACTCCAAAACTTCCGTTCTAAAGACAGATCTACTGTGATGGCCTTGACACAAGAAAGATATCTGGAAGAATAATAGATATCATGGCTGTTTTCGCTTTTGTTTCATTGTTCGAATTTCCAATAATTATGTCCATAGAGATACAAAGAAAAACCTGATGGTAAAAAATATCTGTTGTTGTTTATACACGTAGGATGCATGTGTCAGGTTTTATCCAATATTTGTGCAAGAAGAGATAATGTCATGAAGGTCAATATGATGTGGATAGAATTGATTAAAAGTGCATTTGTTTATCTACAATTCGATACACAAAGAGGAAAATATACATACATATTTTTAGTATATATTTCATTTATTGCACGTATTTGCTGGTATACGTCGTACAGTAATGTCGTGACTCATTCTCCGAGTTCATTTCTTCCCTATTCCCAGTTGGTTTCAAGCGATGCCTACTGCGCCATCAGTGTCATTGACCCGCATGCACTGACACATACTACCAAAATCAGTAGGCTTGGACGCGAATAAATTTTTTGATTTTCCTTATACAAAAATGCTGGAAGAACTTTCAAGTATCTTAGGAATTACACCTACCCCAAGTTTTTACCTCCTTTATTATATGTGGTCATAATTCTTCCTTAGGTTTGAGGCTGCAGCTGTTTTCTATTGAGGGAGATACGGACAAAGAGATTGAAGATTCAACGAGCTCAAAATTTTCTTTGTTGCTTTTATACCTGCGTCGTAACTAAGCGAGTTTGTTGCTTCCAGCTGGTATAGCTTTGATTCTGTACATTCTGTATTCCTTGTTGCTCTGATAAAATTGCGTAGCTTTTTACATTCCTACATGTGCGTGTGCCTTTCTAATTGCTAAATAGCATGTCCACACGCACTAATACATGCTTTGGAGTAATATTTTTTTGAAATTATTTTTATTATTATTATTTTATTCTGCATAATAAACTATGGGCGAGACAAAAAAGAAATTCATCTTAGTCAGATAAATCAGAAAAACTAGTCAACTCAAAGCTACTATTATCAAGAATTTTTTTAATGTTACCTGCAGGTTTTACACTGTAGCTTAACTGTGCGACGTAGATGCGTGATCTGTGCGGACTAGAGGCTTTGATGGGGTTCTTGGGCGCACAAAGAAGGGTCAATGACCGACCCTCACCAAGCAACATACAGTGACGCTTCAGTAAGACGTATGCGCCCTGTGCTCATACGTATGTGATGTCCTTGTGTATATACTCACACGCACACGGGCGGGCTCGGTTTGTTTTGATTCTCCGGGCATTACCCTCGATCCACCGTACATGCCGGTCGACCGACCGGATAGTCGTCTTTTTCCTTCTTAAAATTATTATCAATACTATGCGTCATAAATATTATGCACCATCCACGGTTTATTATGAGAAATGTTTTTTAGTTCACATAGGTATCATCAATCCCCTCTAAACTATTACGGAAAATAAGCATTAGCAAGATATGACTTTAAATATTAATCTCACTATATTGCTTTGTTTGTTTAGCCCGTTTCTACGATGGTGTTTAAATGTACGTGGCCTGGATGCACTGAAATTAGAACCACTTGTCCTCTTATTGAGAAACATGTTCGGCAATCACATCTTGGGTGAGTTAAATTATTTATAATAACTAAAATCAGCACAAAAAATTTCTTTTTCTGCTTTCAAAGCAGATCCATGTATTGATTTCAAGGTATCTAAAAAAGTTTATGACGTTACAGGCCCAAAAAATCAAAAACATGTGACAAAGACGATGATTTTGACATGTCTGATCATGAAGAAGAATTCTACTATCAAGAAGTGGCAATTAATCACATGAGTTCACCTCCCACTATGTCTCATAGAGACATGGCAAGGCCACCCCATGAAGATCCAGAATATCAAAAACAACTACGATTAGAGGCTAATCCAATACCCACTACTACAACCATCAATAATCACAATAACAGTAATGATAACAATAACAATACTAACAATAGCAACAATATAAGCAGCAATAGCAATAATAATCCTGTACATCATAACAACAGTCATTTGAATTCCGCTCCTACGGTAATACATCCAACTAAAGAAAGGTTGTTTAACTTCAGAGTATCACCAATTCGTCCCAGATCACCGGTACGTGGTTGTAAATTTTATAAAATTTTTAATTTATAAAAAATCAAGTATATTATATGGCAATGATAAAAATTTTTTTCCATATAGGCAACCCCTATGAAGACAATGAAACATTCTTCACGTCAATTGAATCATCACAATATTAATGTACTAGCTGTGACAACAGCTATTGGAAAAATGACAGCTTCTCCAAGAAGGGTAAGAGGTGACACGAAAAAATGTAGGAAAATTTATGGGATGGAGAATAGAGAACAATGGTGCACTCAATGTAAATGGAAAAAAGCTTGTGTTCGGTTCGCCGAATAAAATAGACTTTCGTCCCGTCCTTAACGTGAACGAATAGTTTATTCGTTTTATCAATAATAGTTAAATTTTTTTTGTTATAATTTATTAATTTATTGTTAAAAAAATGTATTACGCCAATTGCCATTTCAAAGCAATTTAAGTATTCTTTGAATTTTTTACTCGGTTTTTATTGTAGTTATATCATGATGTTTAATCGTGGCAATCGCCGAGTATTGATTACATGCAATTTCGTAAAAATAACGAACAAAACTTATATTAACGGAGTAATATGTACAACTTGATAAAAGAAATATTAACTAAAAAAAAATCGTGATAAAATTTATAGTAGGGCTGCATATATTTTTTAATAATTACACTCTTGTAATGCCCTACACGTTGTTAATAAAATGATATAAAAATAAAAAAAAAAATAAATAAAGAATCTGATATTAGATATTTGACGGGACGAAACATAATACTAAAAACATAATTTTAGACACCAATGTTTCATACTGCCAGAGAAATAAATGAAATGTTGATTATCAAAAAAAGCGTAAATGTTAATCAACAAACAAATAGATAAGAAAGATTAAAACAATTAATAAAATGAATAAGTAGAATCAAATAATAATTATAATATTAATAATGATAATTAACCGCGTATATTGATACGTGATAAGAAATTTTTATTTAACAAAAATTTAATGAATTATTGCTTTTTATATTATGCACTAATATATATGGTTTGTTAATGATTATTTTTACTGAATTTATCAGTGTACAGATCTATAAACAAACATATATATGTTGTCATATATATATATATATTATATGAACAAAATACGTAAACTATAAGAATGATGCGGAATTTTCCGTAACTTATAAATCTATATAAATAATGATTTAATGCGGATTTACGCGTTCTAAATTAAATATATACCTGTATAGAAATCACCAATTAACACAGATATATATTCACGAGAAACACTTATTTAGTACAATGAGAATGATTATATATTGTTGCAGTTAATGACAACGAAAGATATCGTATAATACAAGAGGTATGATTTGTCCTATGCCAGTAGAGTATTCGTGCCTGATAAACACAATATTTAAACAAATGATCATTATTTTCTCCTTCTCTCATCCATTGATTAATTTTTAATTACACATGTTTATTAATTTTTTTTTTTTTTAAATTACACTATGATTAACATAAACTAATATTTTTCTTGAATTTACGAAGATGGCAAATCAGAATGTTATGAAAAACTAAAATAGTACTGGGAGATAACTGAATGTTTTTATCGAAAAAAAAAAATATATAGCAAGTAAATACCGTCCACAATACATATAATAAAATTAATCATAGTTACGATATCAATATTCACAGTATCAATGACATTGAAAAATAAATTGTATACTTTTTTAATTAATAAATTAGATTTATAAATATAATAGGGTAGAAATATATAAACATACATTATTTGTATTTCATAAGGAATTTAACAAAAAATTATTGTGGGTGTTGTAATAATTTAGTGAATGCAATTTGTAGATAAATAGGAGAGAGCGAGAAAAAAAGATTATATTATTGCATAATAATTATGTGCGAATATTATCATTTGGCCGGGATACATCATACCACACACGATCTCATATCTATTTAAAATAACAATAATAATAATACTATTACTAATAATAATAATAATTAGAGATATTGAAAATATTATTAATCATAATCATTATCATCATTATAAGAAAAAAATTTTAAGAAAGTAGAAATGATAGATATTGTCATGATAATCGTTTAGGAAAATTATTAGCAATAACTAAGTGATTGAATCACTATAGTAGTGATGATAATAAGAGAATTTTAAATAATTTTATATTTTATCATATTACGACATTAAAAATTTTAATCATGTTTTTTATTCAATTATTTACTTTCATATTCGAAATCATTTTTTATATTTTTTTTTTTATTTTATTGATAAAATACGTTTTTTTAAAAATTGAATTCTATCATTTTTTATATTAATCAACTTATTATCATTAATACTCAATTTGGTGTATTTTAGTGAATTGAAAAATTTTTATTTAGTTCATCTTATTATGAAATTCATGCAATCATTGATGACATTGTGATTTTTTGGTGTTCTCGAAATGTGAAGTGATTGAATAAAAATATACAAATTTACTTTTAAGAAAATAATTTAAAATGATATCTAAATTTTTATATAAGCATAATATGAAAAATTATTGGCATGTGTTCGATTTACTTCATAATCATTTTAAAAATTTTAAAATATGATCGAAATTGTAAAATAAGGTTACAATAATGTTATTATTATTATTGCTATGAATATTATTGTTAATGTTATTATAATTATAATTGGATTATTATTATTTACACATTAATGTAAATCGTGAGATAAAATACATTACTGAGGAAGAAAGCAGTTGGCGTGATAGTGCGCACGTTAATTGCTAATTGTAATTCAATTGAATGCAGTAATGTAAATTGTAATTGTTCTTCCGAGTTTTTACCATAATTGAGATTCTTCTGCAATATAAGATTATAAATTAGAAAGGTATACTGTATGAAAATTAATATATCGCTGGAAATGAAGATTGTAATTATTCAAATAATATATCAATTTTTCGGTATTTAATATTAGATCTCATGCTCGATAATTAATATGAAATACATAGCGCTATCGATTTGTTAATCATATAGTGGTAAACATCAATTTAGAGAAAAAGTAACTACGTTCCGAATAATTTATTGAATACAAATTAAATTGTTAATAACAAAAAGATATAATCTCTGATTTTTGTCATTTGTATTATATAAATCAATTTTTTCGTCAATTTCAAGATTACATTCATGCATAAAATTAATAGATGATAATGTTAATAATTATACATTATTATATAATCGCGATCTCACGACGGAGTTTTTAGAACAATTACGATCAGTCCTCCGTTTATTTTTTAATTCTTTTCCTACAATATTTTTATTTATCTATATGAAATTATTATCAACAAGTTGGTTATAACAACATAAGATTATAGAAAATATAAATAATAGATCATCTAACGTGTAAATGAAAGTACGAATGAGAGAAATAAATAATATTATCATTAAAAACAACAGTTATGTTACTGAAATTATTATCTAATTATTGTAAACCTTCTAACCATCGTAAGTATTATATTTGAAAATAATTCAAATATACATTGATGATTACAATTTATGTGTTTTCTAATTATAATTTACATAAAATTTAACGAAATAATTTTTTTTTAAATTACATTTTCATTAATTCAATTCATCGATTGACTTTATACGACTAAAGCAGCAACACTTTATCGGGATAATTGTATTTATATAAGCTGAATTCTTCTCACAAACAGAAGTCTCAGTATTATTTTTTTATTTGCGATAAGAAATAAATAATCCACAGTATAACAGAAACTTTCATTCCATAAATTAATCCGTGCTTTTTAGTTTTCTAATTAAGTGACTAAACATATTAATTAGCTATGTTACATTTTTTAATAATTGATGAAAGCGGTTTAATTATTTTTAAATTTTTTATTAATCTTCCAGACTGAAAATAAATCTATTTCGTCCAAATTATAATACGTAATTTAAAACAATTTAATATTCTATCTAATTTCTCTAATGCTTATAATAATAACATATAATACATTTACAAAATGAAAGTAAAAAATTTGAATGAAAATCTGCGTGAAAAACACTATAATGGCAGACTTTGAAATTTATAACATATTTGATTAATTAACAGTAGCATAGATAACAACATCCAAAAAATTCGATCATAGAGAATGAAATATGCAATTAAACCTTTTAGACTATTTTTCGAAGTCAGTGAAGTGTTCAATCAATATTTCATTATATACTTAGATACATTCAAAACTCTTTCATTTTACACATACATATTAACTCTTAAATGCATACCCGCATCTAATATATAGAAATTAATTTATCTACTTTTATTCATTACAATATTGAATACTCTTTATTAAATCTTATTTCAATTAATTACTTCAGAGTCTTTATTTTGAATAAAGAAGCTTAGATCTAATGAAATTATGCATTTAAGAGTCACAGCACACTGATATTTTTTCACCCTGTTGAAAACATAAGAAACCAAAGACATATTTGTGCGTATAATAGATTAATTAATTGAAAATTTTATTTCAAGTCTTTACTTTTAATTAATCATAATTATATTATAGACAGACACATGAGTATTTATTATTTAAATATAAAAGTTTTTTATGTACGTATAATAAAGTCGGAGAAAACAACTATTGACTAGAAGTCATGATTAAAAAATACAAAGATCCAATTCAACTTTGAAGTAAAATTTAACTCATTATTATAATTCTTTAATATCTTATCTGTTGTTATATATAAAAAAATATGTATTAAAAAAAACCATGAATACAACAATTCAATATAGAAATATTAATAAATCTATTTTACCGTACAAACATCAAACGTTCAATAGGTGCAGTTTGACACTCATGTAATATACGTCTTAGAATTTTTCATCCATCATGCACAACATTTTAATATTATCAAACAGTGATCTTGATATTGATAAAAACCCTCAGCTTATTATTTTTTTTAAAATAATGCAAAAAGCCACAAAATAACCCTATTAATTCCAAGCTATATAAAGACGCTTTAAATTATGTATTTCGCGTTTTGGCCATAGATAAACGCTGCCAATCACATTATGTTATTTAGGAATCTAGAATTGAAATTGCAATTTCAAGTGGATGCCAAACAATACTCGTCTTCTTTTATGCGATCAGCAGCAGTTGTGTTTCATGTAACTTTCTTCTTTGTTGTCTTTTTACTGCGTGGTAGAGTTGCGAAATTCGTTATCTGAAAAATAATTATATTATCAAATTAATTGTTTACTACATTTATATTAATTTATCAAATAAAATAATTGATGCAGTCCAAACTCGTATGCATAATTCATTTGGTTATTGTCATAAAGTTAGATCAACAAAATTACATTTTCAATATTGTTAAATATTTTGTTTGGATGACAAGTCATAGATCTAAATGATTTAGATCCAATTAATTAAAAAAAAATTTGTGATTAAAAGATATTCAATCAGCATTAGTCACAGGCATAATATTGATTATACTGAATGTTAAATAAAAGTAACATTTCATTCAATATTCCTTTTAGGATCAATGAATTATAAGATTGATTGAGGTTTTTCAAACATTAGTTGCTATGGTTGGATGGATATTTGAAATGATATTTCGCATAAGATGAACTTTAGTACGGATGTCAATGATAGGTGACTATGAATATTTAAATAAATTTTTCTAAAAGTGTACTAATGAATGATTTATCATACAAAATTGATGAATATTGCTATTCACTTGATATTAATTATCAAAATGAAATGAATGATTCACACTCATAATAATTTTCAAAGGCAGTTTGTTTCATAGGCATTGTTTACAGTACCGTATGAATTCTCACGGAATATTTTTTTTTTCCTTTTAATCAATTTTTTCAGTTGGATTTGATTGTACCGGAGGTTTTGGAGCTTGTGTTTTATTATATTTTCCTCCACGTATTTTTTCAGTTCTCTCTAATATGGGACTGACAGCTTTCAATGGGCGAATTTGAATTAAAGGACTTATCACATTAGATGATGATAAAGAACTTGGACTTTTTACATTTACTATAAATTCAGCTTCATTCAGCTGCTTCAGACGTGGTTGAAATTTCAATACTGAATTTTTTTGATAATCAATGGCATTAGATGATAATTTATGGATAGTATTTAATAAGAGAGTCTTAAGATGTTGCAGTTTTGTTTGTTCACATGGTTGAAAAGGTATATCTAAGCTCGGTAAACTCAATTGATTATCGGTAATTTTGGAAAAACCATGATTAATTATAGGCTTCTCTATACAATTTATAATATTAGTCTTATTATCAAAGTCTTGATTAAGTAAACTTGAAATTTCTTCAAGTATTGTTGAAACTTGAATAATAATATCCCTATTCCTATTGGGATTTTCTGACATCACATCATTAGGAGTTTTAGATAAACAATTTAGTAACTCCAAAGCTCTTATAGACATATTTATTATTAGATGAGATAATGAATTAAACTCAATCCAATCTTCCTCTTCATCCTTCAAATTTCAGAAAAGTCATGGCTATTAAAATTCATTGTATTTAATTTATTACCACACGATATGTTGTATCAATAAATGCATCGTTGCAATCAAAAATAAAATAAGAAAGAGATCTCGATAGAATTATCATTATTAAAAATTATACAGTAAGTATTATATACTTTTTTACGATTAATTATTTTTAATGATTTAATTACGAACCTCAGTAGATGATTTTTTAGTTGTTGAACGAGGCCTTGAAGATCGTGTTCTTGCTCCAACACTTGAAGTTCTCAAAAGTGTTTCTGTATTAGATATCACTCGATGAGATGTTTGAATTGCTGCTGCTTCGCCACTGCTATATCCACTGGATATGTCATCAGATGATTTTATATTACTGCTTAAAAAATTTTTGGTAATGAAAATGATATTTAATTTAAATAATTAGTATTATTAAGTGATTCCTCTACGTACTTTAAATTATCTAAAGGTTCCCTATATCTAGATTGTTTAATGTCAACTTCAACATCTGAATAAAACATATCTACTCGATTACAACTCGATTGTGTCCTACGTGGACTGAATCCTCTTCTTCCAGGATTCTCTCTCCGACGAGGCTCCACTATTATTATTTAGTAAAGAAGTAGGTTAATCAATAATTATATTTTATCTTTTAACAGTTAAAAATAATTTTTTGTACCCATTAAATCTGTCTCGTCATGCGTTGAAGAATTATTTCTATTCATTCCATCATCATTGTCTCCAGTCAGATCACTTAAACTATAACTCTTTTTTAATTGCTGAACTAATCCACCTCCACCCTAGAAAGAATTGATTATTTAGTTATAAAGAAACAATTAAAACATTGGAAATATATGTAATAAACATAAAATCAATAAATAATAAAAAGTAAAATAAAAATGTCTTACCAACTACTAAGTGGTGTCACTAATAACTAAAAAATTCTACTCTTTACAAACTATGAAAATGTGCAGACACTTGTTGGTATAATTGATGAAAACATAGTTGATGTTAAAAAAGATATAAACTAATATAATCATATGAAAGAAATGTTAAAAAGCAGTTTAAAGTTATAAAAAAAAAATTATTTCATGATTACACGCATTTATTGACAAAGTAAAATGTTCACATATCAATAATAACGACTTATATTAAATAATTCGGCACATTATTAGTTGATTAGAAATTCGTGGTATAGACTTGGCGAAAAGTAAAAAATAAATAAACAAATTATTCTAAAATATCCAACGTGTATATCTTCAATATTATTTGTTAAATTTGTACGTATATTTTCAACTAAATATTTAACAGCTTATAAAAATGGTCATTAAATTTGTAACGCCACCAGTAAAAAACCAACAAATGTAATTGGTATTTTATAAATTAATAGTGCAAAAAATCTTAATTTTTTAACGCACACTATGTATTATAAATGACTAAACTGAGTAATGTTAAGTGATATGACAGATTCATGATAAAATCTTTATCAAAAACTTCATTATAATTTGTGTTTTCGTAGCTTAACATTAGGGTATGTACAATTTTCTAAAAATAATAACATGCATAATTAAGGCTTCATAAGCGTCGATTTACTATGAATAATTTACAATGAAATTGATTGTTAGATTTTTAACTCCTTAGTTTCTCGACTTATAATTAATAAAAAAAGAAAATTTTATCATCACTCAAATTTTATTTGGAAAATAAAAAAGTTTTAATAACCCTAATGTAGATAATTGTTCTCGTTATCTGTTTTTATTTTAATAATTATTAATATTTAATGTTTTTAACAAATTAGTAAATAGTTGAAATCGTTAAATAAAACTAAAAAAATTTTTTTGGTTTTTCAACACTTATTTTGTTCTTGATTAAAGTAAAAAAAATCACAGCGATAATAATAAGAGGACTATGTCAAGTGCTTTCTAATCAAGAGATCAATAGTTATTAGATTTAATCTCTTAATTACATTATATCAGTATTGTCATCACTAAATTCAGCATCTTGACTACGGAGAGTTCCTTTAGCACGTGTATTTCTTGCAACATTGCGCTTAGTTAATTTACTTCGAGTTTTTTTTGGTTTCTCAGTTGGTGCTTTAAAAGTTTTAATATCTAATGATAGAGATTCTTGATCTGAATAAAACATTTTATCGTTGTCATCTTCAGCATATGCAGTTCCAAGAATAGTATCTGATACTTGAGTATCACAATCAAATGATAAATTGAAAGTAGTTTCATTTTTTTCTTTATTCTGGACTGGACTATTGTTATCTTCAGTAATATGAGTTATTTTTTGGTGTTTTGGTGACGACTGCTGGTTATTGGTTAAGCTGGAAACCGGTGAATCTGACAAATCAATAGATGACTGACTGATGTTCGAGGAACTCGGAATGACATTTGGTAAAGTCTAGTATTAGGTCAATTGATTAAGCCAAAAAATGTCCAATGTTATAAGCAATTATTTCACCAGCAGCATTAGTTGTTGATGTGGCGTTGATATTGATGACACGTCATGCGTAAGGTAGTAAAGTGCAGTGGAGAAAAAAATCAAATAATTAAATTAAACAAAATAATCATAATTAACATTTATGATTTGAATAAAACATAAATTAATTACTTTAACTTCCCGCCTTTCAAAAATATGTTACTATCCAATTTAAAAAAATATTAATATTTATTAATTCCCTTTATGGTTGAAAAAAAAATTTCTTAGAGAAAGTTAAGGCGTTAAGCTCTAGTTTTGAATTAAAGGATTAGATAAGTGTTGTGGTATCAAAGTCACGAATAAATTAAACGGATAAAAATAATACTTTTTCATTACTCACCTTAATCGCAGTCTGCATCAAAACTGTAGTAGCATAATTAACGCCTTTAGTGCCAAGATGAAGCACAGCAGTATATCCTTGTTCCGTAGCTCTAGCAAGAGCATCATCTATTTCAGCTTCACGTCGTATCAATGCTGGGTGCACGAATCGTCGATAAAGAATACTTGATCCTTTTGTTGCAGGACTTAGTAGCCATAATACTAGTATTATCTTAATTTCGTAGTAAAATGGAAACCTAGATAATCCACAATGAACACATTATTTAAGATTATTTTTTAAAGAGAACATTTTTTCCAAACTAATTATCAATTTAGTTTGAACTTATTGTTTATGTTAATTAAAATTAAAATATCACCAAAACTGAACATTTTTTAATGTTCTTACCAGAAGCTGAAGAAAACATCAGTAAACGTTTCAGCGCATGTAAATAGCGCAAAGACAATCCAGTACATCATCCATTTTACCTAAATGAATAACGAAAGAAATGATTAAACATATGTTGACAACATTACTATGTATTGTATACAAAAGTAATATTTACATATTCTTTGAGATTCTTTGTTCGTACAGCTTTGTAAGATGCATAAGCAGGATAAAGAGTACCAAAGACTAGTCTGAAAATTGGATATACCAAAATATAAGTGACCACTCGAGGCATTAGAATAGTAATAATAATGATGAAAAAACCCAAGTTGCTAAGTGTCAGTTTTAAAACAGGAAGAGAATAGCAAGTCCAAGCCGATGACTTATTTGTCAATTTATAAATAATGCTCATTTTTTCTGATATCATTGTGTCGTTTAAGTAATTCCAAAATTGATAGGAATCATGTAAACATGTTAACAAATTTATGTACACAACTACTTTTTGTGTTTATATACAGGTCAAAATATATACATGTTCAAGTATGTATTAATTTTAAAATTGTTTAGCAATTCAATTCACACCATTTCAATTGTTCTTAACTCAAATACAAAAATACATTCTTTTGTACAAATTCAGTTTGTTTGTTCTTTAAATTGATAACTAAATTAAAAACACTGATCAACTTTGTCTATTTTTTATCGAATTCATAAAGGCTTGTTCTTTGAGTTTTACTGTTTTTATATTATTTCTATGAATATAGTTGATTAGAATTTATTTTTATCCAAATTATTGATATAAAAATGTATGTTTTTAAAATCAATACTTCTTACAAATAGAAATGTTACTTGACTCTTTACAATGGAGCTCACTGAACGTATGTATGAGCCCTTGTATATAAATAAGTAGATTCTATATCGTATTGTTGTAATTCAATGATTATTGTCAATGTCGAATACGAGAAACTTTGTACAATTACTCAATTAAGCGTGTATGCATAGTTAAGCATTAAAAATTTTTTTGTTTATATTTCGTATTTCATTTACATGTGTAACACGTTATTAACACATTGACGTCATTAAAATATTGTTTTTTTTTCTTTAAAAACAATAATAATTAAAGTATATAATTTTTATAATTTTGAAATTAATATATACTTCTTCAAAATTTACTGTTAATTATTAATCAGTTCAAAATGACTCTGACTTTGAGGAAAACTATGACAGTACGACCTATTTTTACTACACGAATTATGAAATATTATTCTAATTTTTAATTTATGTATAACAGACACAGTTTTTACAAGAATATTTAACATTCATAAACATACAATAACGTGTAGTAAACTGGTACTTAAATATTTTTTACAATAGAAAAAAGAGTGTTCTTAATATCATACATAACACATACACATTACATAACAATAAATAAAAATTTTTTCACTTATAAAATCCATAAATAACAAAAATTATATATAAATAACTATAACGTTGTCACTGATGAAAATTGTAACTCGTATTTCTTGACGAGTTGGAGCAGACATTCTTCTTAATTTAAATTTGAACTTTTTTCAATTAAAATTCTTTAGATAATTTTAAAAATATATGTTAAAATATAAATATAAAAAATGAAATAAACAAATATTTAATAAATATGAATTTAAAACTTTCAAAAACATCGATTATGCGATCAATAAATGTAGATATTATTTTAGAAGTTCATCACAACATCAAAATTAAGAAAGACTAAAGATTCAACTGCACTCTTGCAGTCTAATTTATATTTAAACTGACTGTGTATAGCAGCTGATGCTATGCTTATGTTCTAGCTATAACATCATTACATTATGCTCATTTGGTTCACATAAAAAAAAACTATCCATGGTAATTGGTAGATTATCGACCAGTTTAACTAATTATTTTATTTGTTACAAATTTTCATTACTTATCTCATATTTTGTTATTTAACCAAAAAATTTTGAAAGTTCATTGTAAGCAATATTAACACAATTTTTTATAATTTATTTGAATAATTCACGATTCAGAATAACTATTTTATTGTATTTATTTTTGAATATTCATTGTCTATAATGTAATGTTCACTTAAAAAAAAGAGTCTATTGTAGTTCAAAATGATACTAATATTTATACACTTGATAACTCCAAAATAATAACGATGAACTAGAAAAGTTTAAAATTTATTCATCAGTAATTGCTAACTTGTATCAATTTTTATGGCAATTCCAAACTGCTGAAATCTTAGTCCTATTTTGGTAACATTTCAGACTTACATATCATTCTCTTTACAAGGTTGTATTGTACGACGAATAGCTTAATGTTATTTTTAACTAACCGGATTTTTCTTGCACCACCATCTTTCTTCATTCTTTGGTTAATTAAATCTCATAGTAAATTAACACATAGCATAGATCATTTATACTAGTTTCACCTATGATTAATAATTATAATAAAAATTAATTCATAACATATCTCCTGTTATTACTAAACATGAAATTTTCTCTCATGAATAATACCTTAGTTTAATTCTTTGTTATACATTATTATCTAATATTAATAAATTATGTCCATAGTAAATAATTTCATAAACTAGATATCTAAATAAAAATTTATTTCCATATTGATTAATTCAAGTTGAAATAGTGTCAATATTTTCACAGCAAATAAACGAAGATTCGTTTTCTTTGTTGTAATGATTTTTAGATGTTGTAATAGTTTATAGTACATATTTTATGATTATCTTCGAACAATATACATCTACACAATTTTTTATAATAAATAAGGATAATAAGAATAAAAGTAAGCGATATTTCAATAATTTTTTGACAAATAAAAAATAATGACATAATAATAGATAAGTAATGGCAATATTTTATGATTTAGCAGTGGCATTTGACTTTTTTTTTTTAGCTAGACAATTTTTCATTTGTAAATATTACAAATCCTAGCAACTGCTTTTTATATGATGGTTGAAATAAATATGAAGTGAAATAATTTTATATTGTACTTACATGACGAGACGTGAAACAATCGAAGATATCATGTTATTTCAATTGTTTAGTAAAACACAAAAACTGTAATCGTACTATTGAGTACAACAAAGAAATAAATATAATAAATGACCAACCATCATAATATTCTCTACTGATCAGCCATGTTAAACATGGTTTAATAATATTACATTACATGTAAAGTATACACATGTGTTTTTTTTATATAAGGATATGTGTGTGAGCATATGTACAATTGCCAATGATAAGAGTGACTGAGAGTAGAAAAAGACTTTATTGGGTTTCCAAGGAAATTGAGAGGGCTTGTCTTGTGAGGGAAAATGTTTCCGAAACGTGGCGCCCTCAGATCTGATATTCATTTGGATAAACTATAATAAGAACGAAATTGCAATCATTATCGACTGTTATTAAAACAAAATTCCGATATAAGATAATTTGTCGACTATGTGACTTTCATCATAATGACAATACATTGTTATTTGAATTTAGTTCAATTTCATACGAGATTGCGGTATTATGTTCGAACACGTTTGTATGCTGTGATCGTAATTTCCAGTGTGCTTAATTAATTAATCACAATTAGTCATATTTAATATTTAATATATCTAAGAGATAATAAGCGTAATCAATTGCGGAAGTTTAATTTAGCATTCAAAAGAATAAAATGAAGTGTTCAAGAGCCAAAAAATATTTTGTCCTAAAACTTCATTTGTATCTTATTTTTTGTTTTCATTAATTTAGATATTTATTAGTTGAAATACTGTTTAGAAAAAAATCATTACATTTGCGACATCTTTTTTGCAACTACGGTTGTGTTAAAGAAACTTATATTACATTAGGGTAATAATGTACCTGAACTATTGTAAATGAGGATTCGAATGGGGAAAACCCTTAGAAGAAAACATTACCATGAAATATAGTCAAAGTCTTCTTTTAAAGTTTTGGTAATTTACAATTAGATTTGTACATTTTCGTTTCAAAGAAAAAACTAGTTTTGTCCATTTTATAGTATTTACGTGATTTTGGAAATTTTCAGAGGATTTTCCCATTCGAACCCGCATTTACAAGAGTTCAGGTACATTATTACCCTAAATTTCTGCCTCTATTCTATCTTAGATTTTATTGCACTCTTTAAGGTTGAAGGGACTTGTCACTGTTACTCTTGATAATTAATTTTTTTACTACATTATTCTTAATAACTGATAATAAATAATTGTGAATTATATAGCTGATAGTGTCTTTGAAAAAATGTACTTTTATTAGAAATTTTACTCTTAATAACCGTTAAATAATAATTATGAACTGATGACTATACAGAGAATTTAATTGAAAATTGTTATTTTTTAGTTAACATAATTATAAAAAATTCCAATTAATTTAAATTGATAGGTGTTTCCAATAAGTTTATGAATGTTCTACATCAATTACTAGTAGAAAGTGACTAAATATACTTAATACTTGATTAAATTAAATATACTAAGTATACTTAATGGACAGTTTAATTGATAATATTCTACATATAGTAGATAATGAATATATGTATATTACATATTTAGAATTATAACTTTGATTATAACTTTAAAATATATTTTATAAAACATTTAGATATGGAAAAATACATAATTTTAGATTACACATGTAATGAATTTCAATTAATTTAATGTAATAGGTTTTTGAAAACAAGTATTTAGATAGTATACTAATTAATGTAATTCTAAGATCACAGATTGAGTTTACATGTCTTTTAAGTAAATTCAATTCGAGTATAATTTGATATTTCAATTTAAAATGTACCATTTAAAAATATTAATCTAATGTATGTGTACAAATATTAATGAAAATTAATTCTAAATATATGTACAATATTATTGAATATTTATCTTAAAGAGTACAATTGAGTTTGAAATACTCATAATGTCACTTCTACTGTTTAATCATATTTTTTGAAGCAAATTAATGTGTAGGACTTTATTTTATAAAATTTCTTATTCATAATAATTAAGAAAAATAAATAAAATTGATTATTTATTTGTAAAGATGCCGCTAGAGGTATTTAATACGCTACCAGGTGGCGCATGGTGACATTTCATTAGATTTTACCACCAGGAGGCGCACAATGACTGGTTATCTAGCCAACCAGAAGTGGTTTTCAATCACACGAGATTTAATACTCGACCTGTGCACATAGTGTAATTTTTGCTTTGATATTCTAGTGAAAATACAAGTGCAATTTTCGAAAATTTCGCAAAAACGAACATTTAAAAGTAAAAGTGAGTGTTTGTGATTGAAAGTAATTAATTTATACAGTTGAGGTGAAGTGATAAGACAATGTCAAACCGAAGTTCCAAAGGTAGTGAAGGGATGATTCCTTCACGATGGTTATCATGTCCTCGCAAAAGTATAAAATTAATAAACAATAAATTTCTCGCGTTTAAAACACCACTTTCCGATGAGTTTAATCATCAAGTTTCTGAAGAATGTCGTTTTTCTGTGAACATGCTATTTGCATCATTAAAGTGTCAAAGAATGAAAATGGGATTACTAATAGATTTGACAAATACCACCAGGTTTTATGATAAAGCTGATGTTGAATCATATGGATGTCGTTATTACAAGCTTCAATGTCGTGGTCATGGAGAAACTCCCTCTATAGAACAAACGAAAGTTTTTATCAAAATTTGTAGAAATTTTATTGCTCGTAATCCATCTGAAATCATTGGAGTTCATTGCACCCACGGTTTTAATAGAACAGGGTTTCTTTTAATAAGCTACTTGGTTGAAAGTAACATATTCAACTTGGATGCTGCTGTGAGTGAATTTTCAACTGTCAGACCTCCTGGAATTTACAAGAAAGACTACATTAAAGAGTTATACAGGCGATATGATGATGAGAATAATGCACTTCCTGTACCACCATTACCAACTTGGTATTCAAAATACGATAGTTTCAAAGAGGATGGAAAACAACATGATCAATCTGAAAATCTTGAATATACTCAAAGAGATAAAGAAGATAGTGTTAAAGATCGAGTTTTCATGGCTGGAGTTCCTAGAGTAGAACCAGTACGAGATTTAGCTAAAGTTGAGAGAATTCAACGAAGAGTTCAAGAAATCTGCAAATGGAATAGAAGTGGTTTTCCTGGTTCCCAACCTGTCTCTATGGATCAGAATAATATCATTCAATTTAATATCAGACCATACCAAGTATCATGGAAAGCTGATGGTACTAGATATATGATGTTTATTGAAGCAAACAAAGAAGTGTTTTTCATTGATAGAAATAATAGTGTCTTTGAGGTATCTGGATTAACTTTTCCACACTGTGAAGATGTTTCACGAACTCTCAAAGATACTTTATTAGATGGAGAAATGGTCATTGATGAAGTAAATGATACCAAATATCCTAGGTACTTGGTTTTTGACATCATCATGTGTGATGGTAAAGATGTATCGACAGACTTATTCTTTATTGAGCGATATGCTATAATCGAGAAAGAAGTAATAGGAGGCCGAATTAGAGCATTTAAAGAAAGCCGAATACGACGAGATCAGGAACCCTTTTCTATTCGTCAGAAGCAATTTTGGGATATTACACAAGTGAACAGTTTACTCAGTGAAAAATTTGTGAAACAATTGGGTCATAAACCAGATGGCCTGATCTTCCAGCCTGCGAAGGAGCCCTACATCCCTGGACCTGCAGCAACCGTCTTGAAGTGGAAGCCACTATTGTTAAATTCAGTGGATTTCAAATTGAAAATAGTCGTCGAATCAGGTATGGGTATGCTATCACAAAAAATTGGTCACTTGTATGTTGGGGGTTTAAGCGAACCATATAGTTCTATTCCGGTTACTAGGGAAATAGAAAAGCTCGATAACAAAATAATTAAATGTAGTTTCAAGAACGGTCGTTGGATATTTATGCGCGAAAGAAGCGATAAATATTTGCCAAATTCGTTTACGACTGCTCAATCAATTTTAAATAGCATTAACGCGCCGGTAACATCTGAATTTATGATTAATTACATAAGTAAACATAAATTCAACGAGAATTGGGAGGATTGCTTGCCTCCACCACCCAAACGACGAAGATAAAAATTAGATTTTTTTATGTTTCTTTTTTTTAGCATGAGTAGAGCAGAGTAGAGTAACGCGTATTAAATTTAAATTTTAATCTTTTTAATTATTCTCTTTTTTGTTTTAATGTGATCGATGATTAGAAAAGTGCGTATGGTGAAATATTACCAACGCACTATTATGAGATCATTTAAAAAAAAAATTTTTTTTTTTATCATCATTATTTTCAATTTAAATTAAATTTCCGATTTTTCGAATTTTAGTATATAATATTTTAAATAAACGGTTTAGAGTAACAGTGACCAAGCTCTTCTCTGACTAACTTTTTCTTTATTATATTTTTTAGCTTAGGTGGTCAAACTTTAACCTTTGACAATTATAATTGCCTTGCCAACTTTGAAGAGTGCAATAAAATCTAAGATAGAATAGAGGCAGAAATTTAGGGTCATAATGTACCTGAACTCTTGTAAATGCGGGTTCGAATGGGAAAATCCTCTAAAAATTTTCAAAATCACGTCAAGGTACTCCAAAGTAGAAAAAACTAGTTTTCTTTGAAACGAAGATATACAAATCTAATTTTAAAAATGTAACAAATTGTATACTACAGACATCTTGTGGTCAGAGTACCAACTAAAAATTCCTGGCGACACGAAAACGCCACTTCTGGGCTTCTAGGTAAGACAGTATTCTTCGGTTGTGTTTTATTGTCAATCATTGATAATTCAGTCATCTTCGATATCTTGTGAATGTTGTCATATGTTTTCAATAATAAAAAGTATTACAACCTGTAATGTTGTAATATTTGTTTGAATTAATTTTGCATAAAATTTTTAATATTAAAACATCATGGATTACAAAGCTGAACAATGTGATGAAATTGAAGCGTTAGACTCTATTTATTCTGGTGAATTAAATAGTAAGTAGCTTTTATTTTTATTATATTTCAATCTGCACACTTGTTTCTATAACCTCACAATATTATGAATAAATGAAAGAATTTACATTTATTTATAATTAAAAATTAAATTTATTTTGTCAATATGTTGATTAAACATTTATGACTATTATAAATTTGTAGTCATTGAAGTTGTTTAGTATTTTTATTAAAAATTTAAACTGTTTATATAGTATAACATGTTGGTCTAGTATCAATACTTTGTTGATTATTTGCTTAAATTTAATTTAGTCTTGGAGACGGAACCATGTCACAAATTCATTATTCCTATCAAATCTGAGCAATATGAACCAGATACAAATAATGGTCTAGCATGCGATTTGCAATTCACATATTCACCAAAATATCCAGAAGAGCCTTTGGATATCCAAATTGAAAATTCAGAGAATTTTGAGGATGGAGACGAAGAAAAATTGCACCAATACTTAATGGAACAAATGAGTGAAAATCTTGGCATGGTAATGGTTTTTACTTTAGTTAGTGCAGCTCAAGAGTGGCTGAATGTTCAGTGGGATAAAATTAAATTCCATAGAGAAGAGGCTAAAGCTAAAAAACTAATTGAAGAAGAAGAAGCTGAAAGGGTAATTTTTAATACCAATGAATTTACAATTGTTAATTAAGAATCGATGATAATTCTGTCATTTTTATCTTTAGAGGAGGTTTGAAGGAACTAGAGTTACAGTGGAAACTTTCATGAAATGGAAAGAACAATTTGAAGATGAAATGGGTTACGCGAAGCGAAGAGAAATGGCAGCACTACAAGGCAAAAAATTAACTGGAAGGGAATTATTTATGACTGATAAAACGCTTAACGAGTCAGACCTTAAATTTTTGGATGATGGTATTATTTCACATGCTACCGATGTCTTAATTTATATAAATTTACAAGTTATTAATATTTAATTTGAGTCAATTTATTTAATTATCTATTAATGTTATTGTAGGTGAAACAGTTAGAGTCGATGAACGTTTATTTCAAAATATGGATGATTTGGATCTAGATGACGATAATAATGATGATGAAAATGATGGTGACTCGTACAAAATAGAATCATGTCGAGAAATTAATTGTTTAAGCAACAGTTAATTTATTTTTTATATAAAATGATTAAAAAGGGATGAAGTAATAAATTATAAGTTATAACTAAGAAAATTGTGTAAATATATAAAATAATAATATGATCATTTTTCAAGTTATAATTAAAAAATGTCTTGTTATTGATTGATTTGTTTACGGTGTAAGATAATTTATTATTTACATTTTATATTTTTTAGTTACAGATAAAAAAGTTAGATAAAATCAATGAATTAATCATTTAATAAAATAGTAATTCATTTATTGAAAATATTTATTACATACATAAGTAAATGAGTAAACAGTCATTTTCAGTACATAGATGAATTAATGGTTTTTAGTATATTTTTTATTTCACAGAATTTTAGTAATATATCAAGTACACTTATACCACATAGTAGAATTATTTTTAATATAACCATCATAATAAGTACATCTTGTTACGAATTAACGATATTTTTTATATTTATTCATACTTCGAGTCATTCTTTTATGGCAGTTATGTAAACTGTAAATATCATGAATATTTTTTTACTTTCCATTTACTGTTGTTATGGATCTTTCGGAATAATAATACTGCTCTTATCAACATTAGTTAGAGGTCTTTCGTTTATCACTCCATTTTATATGAAATTAATATATAATAATAGTTCAAAATTCATATTAATCACAAAAATATTTTGCATTGAACATTGATTTGTTAATATTATTGAAAAGTTTAAACTTAGAACTGGACCTTAAACAGTAACATTTTTTTTATCTGAAGAAATACAAAAAATTGTTTAGTCTATTTTTTCTTGTTTCGTAGAACATAATTTTTTTTTCTCCTTTTGTTGTAATGGAAGAAAAAAAGATTTCATAAAGTATTGTATTGATAATTTTCAATTAATTATATTGAACACATTTTTCAATGAGTTTTTTTTTAATTAAACTTAATATTATAATTCAACTAATGTATGAATAGTTATTCAAATCCAAAGTCAACTTGGTAGTTTTTACTTTTCTTATTCATTTTTTTTAAGTTTTTTTCTTTGGGTATTTACGTTCAGTAAAAAATCATTGCTGAAAAATTGGTTCTACTTTCCTCTAAATATTTGTTTTTAGAATAAATATATCATTTTGAAATAAAAATAGTTTAAATACTTTCAATAATTTAAATTACAAAACTATATTTTGATATTTATCTTAACTTGACGAAGTGAAAAGATCGAGTAATTGGCTTATATCACGACTCAACCATTTTTTTCAAAAATTATTCATGGATTTTCTTGATTAACAGATACAACTACTTTTCTTTATTCTTGTTACTGTAAGAGACAAAACTTTCTATCGGAATAAAAATTTAAAAATATATTCAATGTTGATTTATACTTGGCAACAGTTTTATAGGCTTATTAAATCGATTTAATCTCATATTGTTGAAAAATATGTACACAGAATGAATTTATTTTGTTTTTGTTAATGAAAACTACAGATGTTTTAAATCATGACGTATTTCAAAACCGGTTCTGTAAAAATAAGAAATTAACAATTATGAATTAAATAAATATTTGTAATTGATTTCAGTTAAATTATACATACATTTCTGGTGAAATTCTAGGTTTAGCATATTCTCCGGGCCAATCATAGAGATTAGGCATTGGACTATCATATTTAGCATTATACATTTTACTCATGACAAATGCTCTTTTATCTTTTGGCTCCGGATATTCACTAGCCAATCCGCCTAGAGATAATTTTAGTAATTGATTAATATTTCAAATTTTTCTCGTCACAATTTTGAATAAACTTACATTGTCCGTATGCGTATTCGGCTATTTTAACTGCAATATCAATTGAACATTCCCTGATAGAACCAAGTGGTGGATAAACACTACCACGTTCAAGATCTTGATCAGAAACATGATCAGCAACTGTTTGGGCTGAGATTAAAAACAATTCTTCAGTTATATGATGAACTCCTGTAGCAATTACTCCTAGAGCAATGCCTGGAAATATGTATGCATTATTTCCTTGTCCAGGTTTAAAGGTTTTTCCGTTGTGGACTATTTCGCCGAAAGGTGATCCTGATGAAAATATACACCTGCCCTAATCAGATAGATTTCAACAGATATAACATTATTAATCATTATTAACAACATTCATTTATTATGTGAATAATTCTCTAGGATGTTAATAAACTAAGGTAATCAACACGGTATAAATTATATTACCTCAGTATAATCATAAGCTTGCTGTGCAGTACATTCAGCTTTACTGGTAGGATTACTAAGAGCGAAAATGAGTGGTCGTTCATTATTTTTTGCCATTTCCTGAAGAACTTCCGGTGTAAAAGCTCCGGCTGCAGCTGATGCACCTAAAAATAATATTTCTTTAATATCACAAGCTTATTTTTATTTCTAAAACTTAATTAATTATTCAATTTAGAAGACTTTTATGGAAATAATAGAAAGTAATTTAAATTACCTATTAAAACTGTCGGCTTAACTTCTTTTACAATTTCGATCAGTGACTTAAGCTCCCGATGATCTTTGGCATACCATTTTTTATGGCCATCCAAATTACCAACTGTTCTATTTTTAGTTAATAGACCATCAATGTCCATCATCCAAACTTTATCTCTTGCCTCTTGTTGCGTACAACCATCAACCTCCATGGCTTTGACACACAAATCAGCAATACCTATTGCTGCCTATTGAAAAGATAGTTTTATATTTCATCTATTAAAACTTGATGGAATGAGGAATAAAATGGCGAAATAATTCTGATAAAAATTAACATAACATCATTATGTAAAAGCATTAGAAATCAAAATTTTTATTTTAAAAAATTAACTTTAATGGTTTTTCTTTATCTAAAATTAATTATTTATGATATACTCCTCATGCTGAAGTTACCATTAAAAGTCTGACGTATTTCTTGGTATTCGTAACCACAGGAAAACAAGTTATTTTTTTGCATCAAATTATCGTAAACTAATGAGACAAGTTGAATAAATTACCTCTCCAGCACCCAAAAATACGAATTTATTATCAGACATCTTCCGCTTGGTAATTCTTTTTGATGCTAAAATTCCCGCAACTGCTACAGCCGCAGTTCCTTGAATATCATCATTGAAAGTACAGTATTTATCTCTATATTTATCGAGAAATCGAAAAGCATTATGATTTCCAAAGTCTTCGAACTATAAAAAATGATTTTTTACCGTTAAATTATTCCACTTATTTTCTTGAATGATTTTAACTTTAATCAATACTTATGATCATATTTACCTGAATTAACACATTCTGACCATATTTCTGTACACAAGCGGCCATAAATTCATCAATAAGTTCATCATATTCAGGTCCCTGAGTTCTAGGTTTATTTAAACCTATGTAATGTGGATCATCTCGCAATTGTTTATTATTTGTACCCACGTCAATGGTAATTGGAAGACACTGATGAGGTTTAATGCCTGCTAAAGCTGTATAAAGAGCTAATTTACCAACTGGAATTCCCATTCCACATGCTCCGAGATCACCAAGACCTAGAATCCGTTCTCCATCGGTAACACAAATTGCACGCACTGATTGTTCTGGCCTGAAATAAAAGATAAATCATAAAAGCAGTGTATTACTAGGGCCAAGTAGGGTAGATGGAAATAAAGCACCATTAATGTATGATCAGCTCATTTAAAAGAATTTTTTTTTAATATAAAATTCTTAATTCATTGAATAATTAATTGATGATGATAGTTATTATTGTGATTTGAAATAAATTACCAATTATTTAAAATTTCATAAATATGTCCTTTGTCGAAGATGGTAATGAACAATCCTCTGGGTCTGCGGTAAATGACTCCGAATTTCTGACAAGCTAGTCCAACGGTTGGGGTGTAGACAATTGGCATCATCTGCTCGATGTTCTCACTCAGGAGCCGGAAGAACAAACGTTCGTTCCTCTCCTATTCGTTGGAACGATTTTCAGTTAGTAGTTTGATACTGTAGATACTTGCCCTCTATTTTTATACACATTTGTTCAATATGTTTATGCTGTTTTTTACTTTTTTCGTTATTGATAACACGTCATTATGAGCATCAAACTGATACTCAGCTTCACCTGGAGCTCCACAAGATAGAGATAGCGGTTCAAGTCCTCAGTGTACTTCATCACTGATGCTTTACACAAAGCCAATTGTTCCTCTTGAGTTTTGAAGCGCGGTGGTTGCAGGCCATGAATTCCTAATGCGATTCTTTCTTCTAAAGTAAATGCCAATCCCTAAAAGAAATCGATGAAAATCGTTACATCTCTAAACATCTAGAATATCTATCGAATTTAGGATTGAAATTCTTCATTTATACCTTATTAAGTCGTGGATCTCGCAGATGACCAATACCTTTAACCATATTACGTGGTATATCATCTCCAGGAACTTCATATATACTTCTGCACTGACTATCCTTAGTCATCAATTGTGATGGCAGCAGTGCACGTCCCCACGCTCCATTTTTGGATGATCTAGATCATCATGAGGAAATAAAAAAAAAACTAACGAGTTAAGCCAATTTATAGAATCACATTAGAAATTTATTGTTATATATAATTGTTGAAAGACCTATTTGATGACCCTCCCGGATATCATAAGAATGCAGGAAGTAATTTATTGACACACTAAAAATATTATTTAATCTTATCTCTTTCTACTTAAATTGGTTATATCAATAATTATAATGATATTTTTTTTGTATTTATTTTTATAACTTTTCTTGCAAATTAATTTTTATTTCTAATAGATATTAGTTGATTAGATAAATATATCATGTTGATAGTTTCAACAACATATTTGATCATTATTTGATTTTTATTTTTCAGATAAAAAATTCTCAAAAAGCATCATATCAAGCATCAACTTCTTCAGCTGTCGTGTGGCAATGCCAAGGCCAACAGTTACTGATAATTTTTTTTTCTTTATCTTCATCAAGAGACAGTTATTGAATTGCATTGACACTTAATCATATGACAATTATACTCTTATTTTTCTATTTTTAGTTATTAATACTCTAAGTTTTTTTGAGCCAATTATTGTAATTGTTTGTCATTGAAATGTAATAATTGTATTATGCAAATAAATGATATCCGTAAGTTGATATTATTAAAGAGAAATATAATATGATGACTTACAGTTCTTTTAAAATTAACATTTATTTCTGGAAATGATCGATATTTTGTGTGCGATATTTGAAGGACATTGTTCGGTTTGAGGAAAGCTGTAGAATTGAATGACATAGTGACCGTGAAATATGTTCATCAAAGGTTACTGTAGATTTTAACGGTTTCATATTTATAAAGCAAATAATAATATAAGAAAAATAGATGAAATCAACTTTCTTTCTCCATAAACATTGAAATTTTTGCAAAATAATAATCTAGTTTTCTTTTTCTTCTTATTTTCTCTCTCTCTTTCTTTTCTACTCTCTATTCTCTGTATGTACAAGAGTTGGCTCAGTATCGATCGACGGTTTACTTGTGACTATTTTCAGGCCTGCATTGCGGCATTAGAGATTACATTTATGAATTATATATTAAAATATTACATTCGTAAAAAGTGAATTCTAATTTACCGAAAATAAATAGAATTTTTGCATTATGAAACCGTATTTTATCAGGATAAATAACTCTTCAAATTTTGGTTTTTATTTATAAAGATGATTAACAAAAGTCAGTTTTATGTTTCACGATCACTTAAATTTGTCAATTAGTTATTAATTGTAATGAATATTCAATAAATATGAAATTTTTAAGTACTCACAGTATGGACCTCTGAATGATGAACATCTTGCCTTTTTGCTACCAGCTGATCGCATACACCTTTGCCGCTATTCTACACACACGATACCAGAGAACGCGTGCGACTGCGCGATAAAATGTGCTCCGTAAAACTAAAACTAAATGTAAAGATTCACATAAGTTAGGTCCACTCAACATGCATGAATGCCAATGTATAGAAGCTGTGGTGTGTACACATGTATGTGTTCAATCCACAAATTCAAAAATCCTATACATTTATAAAACTAGTGGGGGCATAGACAACTTCTATATATATGTATATAAGAATGTAATGCTCCAATAATATGTCTAGTTTAGAGTACTGCTGCTGCCACCATCATCATTGCCACTCCTGCAATCAGTATTTTTATGTAAACAAAGGTTTGACTCAAATGTTTTTTTTTATTATAGCAAATAATCCGTAGCTTAGTATAATAAATTGATATAACAATAACGGCTTTTTTTAATTGAATGGATGCTCTTTTATAATTTATTTCTCTTTGTACATAATCTTTCAGGGGTGGATATTGAATGGTAGTTGATTATTAGTTAGTTAATTGTATTTTTTTGCTGTTTTACGGTCAAGTTAATCTACTTTGAAATTAAAATGAAGGTTTTTTATATCGTATCAGTTAATTTTAGTTTTATGTAAGTGTTGGGAAGGCTGAATTTATCAATGTTATTTTGAGTCTAATAATAATCAACATTTATATTGTGCGCTAGCGCGTGAATTGAGATTTTAAAAATTCAGGTATGCATTAAATAATGTAGATATTGTAGGGGATATTTTACTATGATTAAAAGGTGTTTTGTTCAGTTTGAATTCATATAGCAAACATTGAGTTATGAATAAGAAATCAGAATAATATAAGATTTTATTCGATTTCATTTGTGCATTCATGCGTTTATTTTAATAGAAATGAACGTTATTTTAGGATGAAAAATAATCATTATTTCTGTTATTTTTCCAGAATTTTCCATTCGTTGATTTCTTCAATTTTCTATCTAGGAAAGTAATTGAATCAATCAGGAAAAATATCTGCTGATTGAATCAGTCAAATATGCTCTTCGAATGAATCAAAATATTTACTTACCCAAGTAGTCAAATGTGCTGATTTAATAGCTGATATTTGGATCATTAGGATGTTTCTTCAAAAAATCGAGTGAACTACAGGAAAACTTCACACAGCAAATAATTATAAAATGAGAAATTCAATAAAATTCGAGTTGTGATAAATATTTTTTTAATTTTTTTCTATACCGCAGAATAAAATCATGCTGTAGGAGTTTGTTTGTTCACAAAAAACAGTCTAAAAATAATTTTGCATTTTGAGGTAGTCAAGCTACACTTGAGTTGTGTCGTCGAGTTTGATCATAATACGAAGGACATATAATATGGATACTAACAACTGTTACTATTCATACTCACTTTGTTAAGCAATCACCATGCAATTGTAAATGATTTATTCTCGCAATCTAGTAATTTTCTGCTTAAATCTAAAAAGTTGGACACTTTTTAATTATTTAAAAATATGATAAAGTATTTTCTAAATATTTCTCTGGGTGATACTTGATAATTGATTAAGAAAATAAATAAATATTAGGTATTACTAAAAGCACTAGAGTGCTTCTTGCAAATTTGAGTGTTATTTGAAGATTTTGGAGTTGTTAATGAAAATTAGATAAGATCAGTTTCAGGTCAGGCTTTTATTAGGTCATTAGGTCAAATACAGATGTGATCCAATTAGCTTTGATGGTATGCAATTGTTGATCCAGTTTGATTTAATTAGATCTATTTACAATTGATGCTGTACTTTGCAAGAACACATTGGCGTTTATTGGATCTTGATAATCATAGTGAAATTTTAGCTCCTGATGTCATCAGTATCAGATTGAATTTAATGTATATGTGTTGTTGTTAGAATGTGATAAATTCTCAGCTTATCTGTTTGCTTTGCTTTGATAATTCTGGATCCAGTTTAGTCTTCTTTTTTCTGCGTTAGCCTATAATAAAACAAATGTTTGATGATGTAAGAGATTTTTTTAGAGAATAGTAAAAAATTATTTTTCCAATAGATACTTATATTGTAATTCATAATGATTCGAAAAATTAATAAATAATTTGAATAAAAGGTTATTTTATTTTACATAAAAAGTTATTTTTAAAGTCATTATGACTTCATAAATTAAGTTCTTTACTCAGAGATTTATGATTCACATGTGAACACTCCGGAAAAGCATAAAGACGGTAAACTACTAAGTGTGGTTTTAGATAAAGAAAAAAAAAATACTGTTAATTAGACTTAATCTAAAATAAATATTTGAGGAAAATTGTTAGATCATTAAGTTCTTAGATAGTTTGTACTAAGAACTCTAAAGAATAGTTCAATCCCATAATTTTCTTTAAATAGTTGAAATAAAGTCACATTTTTAGCTGTATGTAGTTAGATCTGTAATGAAAATCACCAATGCTAGTCAATATTTTTTTTTGTAGATAAATGATTAAAACACTTTTAACATATATAAAGTTAAACGTCCAACAATGCGGGTTTCTATAGTCGTTTCTTAAGGTTTCTATCGTACCCGTAGTGTAATCGTCTCTGGGAAAAAGTTTCTAATAAGATGGATTCAGAAAAGCATTAGAGTGAATGAGGTCTTAAATTATCTTGGTTCAAAAATTCGCTTGTGCTGCGGGCATACATTCGTTTTTTATATATTTTTAGTTTGTCGACGTCTTGTTCTCGTTCTTCGTCTTCTTTATCTCCATCATATTCTTCTTATTTTCTTTTTGTATTGCGTTTCCAATAAGAAGAACATTCATACCAGCACTTTTGTTGAACAAAATATCACGTGAAAAGTTCATATGTTACTCGAATTTTCTTTGAACACTCGTTCATTAATTATTTAAGTATATTCAAGCAAATGAATGTAAACATGAAATTTTCAAACATCATAATGTGCAGAAGCTAAAAAAATAAATTAATTAGTTGAAATTTTGATTTTTCAAGGCTAAATGAAAAAATTAAATTGAAATTGCGCTCAACTCTTATTTGTGACAAAACAAGTGGTCTGGTCATTCACATCACGTTTGATTTTTTTTCAAGTTATTCTTAGTACGCTGAGAACAAATTAAAGCCCTGAGTAAATATTTTATTTTTACACTTATTAAGTTATATTATGTCACATAGTATGATGTTTTCGGTGAAAATGATTAAATGTTCAATTGTAATAATAATTATTCAGTTCAAATAATTTTCAATTATATAAATGCTTCATGATCTATATGCTTCTCTTTATTACATCATTTTTTCATAAAATACATCAAAAAATAACAATAAACAGCTCTTATAAATATACAGGTTGATTAAAACTAATTAACATAAAAAAAGTAGTTAAAACAATTATTTAAGATAAAATTTTTAAAGAAAACCATTTCTTTATTATTGTATAGAATGTTTTATTTAACATTAATCTTTAAAGAATATATACTTTGCGATACTATTAAAATTAATAACTTTTTATCAATAAACCAAACCAAAGAGAGAAATTGTGACAACGTTATTGTTCTATGCTGAAAGGAGACTACAATAAAAACACTCGTAGTGATCGAAAAGTTTTTATTTGTTTCTAGATGCCCAAGATAACATTAACGATGGAAATGTCATCAAGCAGAAATGGTCACACGCTGTAAATTTTGTGATATTAAAAACAATCTTTACAAAGTAAATAAATGTTTTACACGATTTTTTGTATCTTTTCACAATATATAATAATCAAGTTAAAATATTTCCTAATTTTAATAGTAAATAGCTTCAGGATCATATCTTTATTTCAATCAATTAATCATAATTATAATTATTTTTAAGTTTTTTTTAATGATTTAATGAAATATAACTAAAATCATTCTGTTCTAAGTAACACAATAATACATGTCAATATTTCATAGAATGAAATTTATTGAATGGTAGATTTTAATTATTCTCATTTGTTCTCATTATTATTATAAGTTAATTTTAATAAATTTTCTTCTTTCACTCTCCAAACAATGCAATACATTGAATGTCGCTTTCAACATATTTCTTATAAACCTATAGAAAATATTCACAATATTCTAAAGTACACGTGAGGATTATTAACGAAATAGTCTATGCAGTCAAGTCCATTAAGTGTTTCTTGATTGGTTTATTTATTAATTAATTACTCGAGATAGTAATTCATTTTTTTATTTTTATTTTAAAGGTAGTAATCAGTCACTCTTATTTATTTCCTCTTATCATTGTTTGAAATTCTATCTTTATACTTTTTTCTTCCAATCAAGCTTTTTATAATTTTTCTTTTCTTATAAATTATTTCGTGTTCAATTTCTAATTTAATTAACACTTGATAATGAATCAAAATAAATAAATAATTTTTCAAATGAATTTTTTGGTATATGTATAAATATTTTTTTTTGGTATGAGATAAGTGAACAAGATCAATCAATGGATTGTTGTGAAATTCCTGTGATTACCAGAATAAAGTAAAATAGATAGGTAATAAATGGTGAGCTAGGTGTGCTGTGAAGAGTAAAAAAGGGATGAGGAAGAATCAAGAACAGAAAAAGAAATGAAAAATTTTGGCATTACCCCAAGCAATTTGTACGTGGATTATTGCTCGAGTATGTGGAATACAAATTCACTTTTACTTATCGAGATCCTATAGACGTTTTTCATCCTTATTTGAACTTTTTTGTTTGTTCATCACGCGTTTTATACATGAGGTGTTATTTATTTAGTCTACTGTCGTAAAATAATACGACATTTTTAATTACAATTCACTGTTTATTATTTATAAAAATTCAATTTTGTTAATTTTTACATACAATAAGTGAATCAAATGCTTGACTTTAGAAGTAATTATGAGGTGTATTAAGGATTAATTAGATTGTCATATTAATTTCCTCTTGTTGGTGGAGTCTGTCAATTAATTTACTGAAACAACTTTTGGTAGTTGATACTCTCCTTTTAACGTAGGATAAGACGAGCCTTGGAAACTTTGAAAGTGATGTCTGATAACAGCTTCGTTGTTACGTTTGTCAACGCTTCAGGAATTTATGAGTAAGTCTAGTTCCGTTTATGGTATTTTTTATATTAATTGTTTTTGGATTGAAGGATTAGTTTTTTTTAGTCGTTGCTAAATAGTAGTAGGGAAAGTCCAATTATTATCACTGCTATTACAGCTGAAACAGAAAGAAATAATTTTTTTTACGACTAATGATTGAAAAAAATTTTAGTATCACTATGAGACTACAATTTAGTGATAATAGAAAAAAAGTTATTTGATACAAGAAAATTTTAAAAATCTCAAAAAGTGTAACTTGTTAAGCTATCGTAAAAACAGCTTACTCAATTATGCCACTACCATCACTAACGCAATCATTGCAACAATGTGTTTCAGAAGAAGGTTTTTGACCTCCTGGTGTAGAAGGTTAAATTTATACTAAAGAAAATCTGTAAGACTTAAGATAGAAGATTCACGCCAAAAATGTATATTACTAAACCGAACGAAGAAAAATAAACGGTGAACCCCCTGTTGTGATAATAAAATACTTTCTCACGATTGTGTTACAAAAAATATATATTAAACTGCTTATTTTTTTGACATATTTAACTTACACTATGTACGGTTTTTACTGTGATATCGATAAATTTCCATCTTAACTGCAATATTTTTACAATACAAATTGATAATATGATTGCATTTTGGAATAATAAAAAAAATAGTTGGCAGAAAACTAAATGAAATGTAAACAGTTTTGAATTTCAAAGAAACTTTAGAGAAAGAAGATGAATTTTTAAAGTATTAATTGGTATTTTATTTATAATGTTGTTTGTTACTAATTGACGACTGATATAAATTAATTGATATGAATAAGCAAAGTTATTTACTTTTTAAAAGTCATTTGTTTATTGACATTTATACTAATGAGTCGAGTATTTATTTATTAAATAATATTTGATTAGTTTATAGATATAATTGCAATAGAGAGTTGTTAGTAAATGAAAGGTTAATTAGAATGAAGAAAATTATTTGATATTTCTCTTCACTCTGTTGTCAGGTACTAATTATTACATAGTGGTTTTTAACTTACTTAAAAACTGTTGGTAATATTTCAAATTTTTATGCTATTTATTTTTGTAATTAGTTTTTAATTCTTAATTACCGAAAGTTAAAAAAATTTTTTTAAAGTATAGAATATTTTTTTTGATTCTACATTGAAATAAAATACTTCATTTATTATCAGACAATACCCTTTATTTTAAATAAATGTTTTTCATTCTATTCAACTTTTAATTAGATTGTAATTATATTTTTATTAGCTAGTAATTGAAATATTTGTAGTTCAGCACGTTTTGAGAAATTTTTTTATAAATTTATTTTTAATAATTTTAGTTATTGCGTTACAAAATAAAATCCGATTTTCTTTTTTAAAAAATATTCTATTGAAGAATTTGACAAAATAAATCAGTAAGTGCTGCCACCTTCTACGTAAGAACATTTATAATTGCAAGCTTTAGGATTGAAACAATTTCTGTTAAAAAACTTCCTGCTGACAAATGATGAAATGATGTAAACTTAATATTTAATATTCATCATACATCGGCATTGTTAATGCTGTTAAATATGATAATTATTATATTGGTATAAAATCATCTCTTGTAATGATTCATTGTATAAAACAGTATAATCTGCAAAGCTCTAGTGATAGCAGGAGAAATTTATTCGCTAAATGTAATATTCTATCGTGTAAGATACAAACAATAGTATTAACAACATATTGTTATTAATGAATAATTATTTATGTAAACTTAATTTGACATTATGATACGGTTAACAATGTATAGTATATGTATTCATATATTTATTGTATTCGTAGATCGGAAATATCAAATAGTGTTAACTATTGTTACTACATGATAATCAAGCATTCAACATAAATACAATTGATGATTTTCTGTACACAGATTGGTTGTTGCTTCTTCCGGTTATATCGGCATACGTTTCCGTATGAACGTTCTATATTTCCATTTACAAATTTACGTATATCACATTCATCACTATCGTGTTGCGTATACGTTAGAGCTGTAAAGGTCCAAATTAGTCTGAATTCAATGAAGCTGAAATTTCTGTCAGTTTGCTCGTTATTAAACCACGCGAATCATCATTTGCATCGATAACTTGGACTAGTTATCGCTATATGACGCAATCGTTTAATATTTGGCGTGATTTTTATTAATTTACAATGTTTTTAAGACTCATTGTCATGTTATTTTTCATCGAAATAATTTATAACTACTTTAAAAAACATATTATGTATAATTAGAATATTAAAAATGAAAAAAATTACATAAGACTATGATTAATTAGCATAACTATAAATTTCATTCAATTAAATATGAGTAGCAAGTGGTAAATAAATGAATTATCGTAATAAGATTAATGTTATAAAAACCTTGGCACGTAATGTGCTTTGTATTAGGTACATAAATTCTACCAAAATTAATCTATCTACTTGAAAAAAAATAATTTACACGTAATAAACAAAATATACTCTTAATTACTTTATGAGAAGAAAAAAGTTAACATAATCTGTATAATTTATTTTCAATGTTATTTCCTTACCACAAATATGGGTGGTTTAATGTTTATTCATTTACGAGAAATATGCTCAAAATAACTATTTTAATCTACTTATATAATGAAAGTATAATTTGTTTTTATTATAGTAATACATTTGACGACTTAAGTGCTGTCAAATCACTTTGAAATTATCCTATATACTAATTAATAGCAGTAGGCAGCAGCTGGACGAACTATAAATGGATGTAGATAAGTTATATATCATTGATTTGTTGAGAGAAAGTATTTTATTATTGTTAACTTTAATACCTTTTCAATGAAGTATTTTTTTTTTTAATTAAAAAAAAACGATAAAGATGCTTACATACTGAAGTAATAAAAATTTATCAAGTTTTAAACAGATATTATTTTTTACTAGATCAAAAATAATAGGAAAGATGTGGAAAGATATTTGAGAATATAAGATTAATGAAGTATAGTTGTTTATCAAAATTAGATTCCTGTGCTGAAAAGAGAATTTAACAACAATTCTTATCAAATGTTAAATCTTGTACAACATTGTTTTTTTGATAAAAAAAAGATAATTAGTATTTTCTTTTATTTACTGGAATACTTGTAACTTGTTTCCGAAATTGTAAAGAAGAATTTAATGAAACTATCACGACATGAAGTTAATAGTAAAACATCTTAAATTCAATTTACCATGATTGGAAGTAGATCCATTAAGAGGTGTCTTCATGGTATAATTATCCTCTTCATCGAAGAAAACATAGCTGGCATTGAAGCCTGTCCCATCCAACCGATCGTTGCTCTTGAATGTCACTCGAAAAAATTTCCGGTCGCTTTCAACATCAAACTCCTTCAGTTGGCCGCAATGTCGCGAATGTTTTCTATCACGTGTCATGTAGTTGGAAAATTCAACGTAGTCACTAGCTGACACTGCTTCACAACTAAATTGAAAAAGAAAAAAATATTATTTAATCATTTTTTATTTAATGGTCAATCACTTTGCTGATGTATGTAATCTTCTTAACGTTGGATTTTAAAAGAAAAAATTCCAGTTGAAACTAACAAATTATTATACATTTCAAACTAGCAGTACTAAGCTTCAACTTCAGTGCTTGGAATTGAATTTTTTGAAATGTGAAGTTGTATATGTAAAAGTATGGAAAATACATAAAATTTTTTGTAAATTTTTTTTCAACAACTTACCGAAATGGCAATAAGTTTAAATGAGAATATTTACAAACGAAATACTTCTTTTGTTTATACTTTAACTAACAATGTTGAGATTATAGTATAAGCAATTAGTTTATTTTTTTCGAATTAATGTCATAATATTGCGAATCCAACAGAAACATATTCTTTCTGGCAATTAAATAATTTCTATAAGGATTGAGTATGCTTAGGTTTTGAATATTTAATAATCTGCAGTACTCAGAGTCGTTATATTTGATTCAACTTCTGAAATATTTCTATATTAAGGTGGATATACCGTTTGTGGCCACTCTAAAGTTTTTAGCGATATTAATTAAAATATGAAGTTTTAAAAAAAACGATAAGTCAAAGTAATAAATTTCATAATGCACTTTTAAGACTATAGATTTTTAATTAACCAATAATAAAATATTTTTATGCAATGTGTATTGGAAAACTGTTGCTATAAAAAAATTCATGATAATAAAAAATAGCTTCAAAAAATATTACTTACAAAATATATGTTGCAATAAAAACATTAAAAAATTTTTTTAGAATAAAAATGATTAAATATTTCTCGAATAAAAATGTTTTATATACGATAATAAAAAGTGACAATAAAAAATAATCGCAAACGAAAAATAAATCTTTTAAAGGTTTAAACTTAATTTGATGTATAATAATGATAAATGTCATATTCTATCATCTTGGATAAAAGAAATTCAAATGAGTGTAAATAATGATAATGCCATTTCCTGGTCATTTCTTGAACTGGTAGTCAATTATCTTGACGTTGAAAATGGAATATTATAAAAATTTTTGATGTGATATTTTTGTGAACATGAAAAGAAGATCTATTTAAGTCATAAATTTAGTAGAAAAGTAAATAGAAAGATATTGTATGTCTTCTAAGGGTTTCATGCAGTGAAAAACGTGTGATTGATCAGATCATTTGGAATCTATTTCATATTATGCAAGACTCTCTCGTATCGGGTAGCAATGAAATACGACTATACGTGGATCCGATCACGTTTAGCTACGGTACACCGCATTTTCTGATGAATCTCCAACTACCCTTCCGCCTGTCTCTTGTTACTAATTAAAGGCCTTGGTCCGGTATTCTTTTCTAGGCCTAAATTTACTCCTTTATATTATAAGTGCAATGTTTGGGACTCCAGATTCAAGCCAAATTTGAATAGTTACCGATGTCAAAGTCACTTTATAAATCCAATAAACATTTGAGAACTTATTTATGAAAACGGAAGATAAAGAAGTGCACTCTTAAATCAGAAACATTGTAATAAGCTCGTAATTGAGTATTGTAAAAGCTTGTATACAAGACGAAAGAATTTATATTTATTCCCAAGCTGAAAATTTTCATCTGTTTTATGACTCTTTGATGAAGACGGAATTAGTTATAAAAAAACTCCTGTTTTATTACTAATACCTTGGAATATTTAAGTCTGTTTTTCTCCGCGATTTTTAGTAATACGAAGAAAAACAGATCTTTTTTTCGTCTGTTTTTGTCCTTTGAACTGACATATTAAGATGAAATAAGTCCATGATTAGTAAATTTATTTATTGTGTACATATAAATTTATTAAATACAAAACTGAATTTAATAAAAAATTAATAAAATATTTAAAAAGAAAAATATAATAAATAATAGCAGTAGCCAATACTAATAACGAAATTATTATAAAAATTATTCTCGTTATTCGTTTATTTGTTTCAATGTATGGTTTTTTCAAGATTTATATTATTCTGACTTACGATTCTCTTTCAATTCTGCTGTTTCTTCTGCTTACACTCATTAAAAAGACCATGCTTATGAGCTTATGAGAAGAATGTTGAAAAAAGTGACATATACAGTATTTTTTTTATCTGGATTCGAACTTGCAATCCTTAAAATCTTGAAGTCTAACACGTTGCCACTACGCCATTTAGACCTTAAGAATTCCTTTTTTACATTTAACTTTTAGTTATATATTCGATTATATATATATATATACTCACATATATAAATGATGAAAAGGAGAAAATGAAATCAAATTAAAATAAGCAGAAAAAAAAGATGAAGATGAGGACAAGATCAGATGAACTAAAGTTTAAGAGAGAAATACAGAAGCAGATTTACAATCAAGGAAAAAATCTGACGAATTTCGAAATATAACAGGTAAAATCATCAATTTTAGATATAAAATAGACGAAATTGTTCGACTTGCGTAATTATTTTTAATAAGCCTGAAGGTAAATTGGTGAATAATTATAAACAAATTTCCATGGAATACTATACAAATTATCAGTCAATATGCTCCCAGCATTCAATGAAATTTCATTATGATTCTATAGACTGAATACAAAGGTTCTAAGATAGTAAAAATTTCATTGGTAATTGATGTAGAAACACTTTGATATAATAACTTTGTTTAAACTCTCTTAATGCCTTTCATGAATTTATTGGCTCTCTGTCATTTACAAACATTTTCGTAACTTGTATACGAGCTCTATACAATATGTTTCATCGTGAAATTGAATTTATATTGCAGCATGTGAAACTTGTTTGGATAAAGTTTCACGCAGATTGCACCTTGCTTGTATAAAGTCCAATTTAACCTATTAATTCCAACGTTTGTTTATTTTAATTAGGTAAGTTTGTTGTGAAATGGATGTTTCATTTTTACATATCTTCTAATCCAATGACACCAATTTCAATCAGATTTCTTACTTTTTTTTGAACGTTTTTACGGGCTAAAACATGTGAACATAAAGATATGTTTGTGATTATATATGTTGGATGTCATAAAATATATCACACCGTAGCTCGAATGCCGTCATAACTCAAAAATTTTGGAAATCCCATCTCTGACGGTGTCGCGCTCTGAAAGGTCAAATATGTAATCTCGAATAGTGACGTGGAAATATTTTATGCTGCTTGTATGTCATAATATTGTATTTATGTTCAATTTTTTTGACTACTATTCAAAAAGCGTGACTTGAATGTATAGAAAAAATTTTATAATAATTATTAATAGAGCGTAACAACAGATAAAAGGATTAAAATGAACAATATATTAAAATTAAATCTAGAGTTTGGAATTGATAGGGAAATATTATTTTTAAATAATAATAATTGATGATAATGGCATTAATAATGCTTGAAAATTGTATCAACAGAATGATAAAAATAAATAACTTTGTAAATATAAAAATTTTTTTTGACAGGTAGTATTGATAAAGTTATCGCCCATAGATCAGTTTTATTTATGATAGAAAAGTTTTGAGTTTGAGTAACGACCATATTCAATACAAATTATGATTTATGATGATTATTTAATTATCTATTATTTAAATAGAAATAAACTTTTTCTTGATTATTATGTAGAACAAAAATAGCAAAAAAGTTGAATTTGATTGCTTATTTCAAAGAACTTTTCTCGATAGTCAAGCTAATAATGAAAACAAATATTGGATATAAAGTTGTCTTAAAAATTTAAAAAAAAAAACAAGGAAAAAAGATGTATTCAATTTAATTGAGTTTGATGAACTGAAGTTTGTCTGTTGAACTTACGGAAGTACTCCTTCAACGTCAAAAAAGTTAAAATGTAGATGTATTCTCTCGTTCGGTTGTCCATTAAAAAAATAATGACATTCTGTGTTACGTGGATAAAATCCAGGGTAATTTGGAGAAGCGATGGTACCATTTCGAGTTTCATTGCTGTTGAACACAAAAGCACAGGGGTAATCAGATTCTTGTCGTCCTGTTGTTATGCCAAAGTCTAAAAAAAAAAAAAATTAATTAATTAAAACAGAAGTTAATCCAATGACATGGTTTTATTTTACAACAGTACTTTTAAAACATATAATTCACTAAGACTCGACATTAAATACCATGAATAATTGTTTTAAAATGTTATTTTTTTAACTGTTGATTAAATTCTAAAATTGAACCTTTTTTTTAATAATTAAAAACTAATGACTATTAATTGGTTGATAATTAAGTTCTTTACTGGAAGATGGGAAAATGATTACTGTAATGTGCCTGGAGCGCTTAATAAAAACTTAAAATTCCAGAATTTTTCGCGCATAAAATAATTGAGTATAAAAAAATTTATGTAAAAAAAAGGTTTACGGATATTTTTATTATATATAGAGACGGTGTATCTTAGTTATTATGCGTTTTTTTTTTTTTACTTTTCTTTTTTATTTTCTATAAAAATGTTGAGTTTCATAAATTAACAATATATTCACGCCAACCTGATCAATTTTAACATTTAAATATAATCAGAGTGGAAAGTGGATCTTCAAAGGAGAAGAGTTAGAGGTTGTCAACAGCTTCAAGTACCTCGGATTTTATTTCACAACTAAAAATACCATGAGCAGGTAAATAAAGTACTTGGCAGGCAAGGCCCAAAAGTGGCGAACGTGACCTGGGGTATTCGTAAGGGAGCAGGAAGAGATTGTATCAACGAGAAAATGCACCTGATGCATTCCTTGGTGAAGTCAGTCGCGTTATACGGTGTTGAGGTGTGGGGGTGGAGTAAGCTCGGGCCCATGATAAAGGTGCTAGCTTTAGGTACAGTCAGAAACACACCGAGATAGCAGTACCCATTGAATGCATAAGACATTTCGAAGAAATACTGAGCATGGATAGTAAAAGGTGGCCGAAGGTATGTTTGATAGAGGAGATGGGATCGATTCTGAACCATAGACCATCGAAATGGGGTACTTGTGTGTATGATTATTTAGAGCCACTTGGTAGGTCAGACTTATGTGAACTGATGTGGGAGGATGCTGAAGTTGAAGAAATTGATGGTAGAGTATATGATAGCATCAGAGAAGGTTATAATAGTTGGTTGCAACAAGAGAAAGAAAAAGAATGGAATGCAATTCTAGCTTCATCTTTCAACTCACTCTACAAACACCTGGTGCCTGTAGAGGGCAAAGACAAAGAAAAAAGAGCTGACCATCTTAAGGGAAGAGCAAGAAAAAGTGATCTCAAAGTTATTTGGGCCAGGTTAATAAGGTGCGAAAACTTCAATTGTGCGTTCAAAAGAGGGTATGATATATGGACGTGTAGATTCTGTGATTGGGAAGCCGAAATGATTGAGCATCTTCTGTGCTGTAATTGTAAATCATGTTTAAAGGTGATGTCAGGGTATGAGAGAAGATATGTTGAGGGAGTTATCACGCTATTGAGTGGAAATATTGATGAAAAAATTTGCGAGTATTTTAAGGTAATAGACAGCAGCACAAAAAATAACAAAGTGATGCCTGGTTTATCTTTGTAAAAAATACAAGGTTGAGAGTAAAGTCAGATGGTGCGAATGTAGTTTGTTCTCAACTTAATGTAATATACGATGTATGGAAATTGCAAAAGCTCAGATGAGCATGGAATAAAAATAAATGTATATAATTAGATTGTATTTGGTTTTAAGAGCATGTTTAAATGAAATCAGTGACTATTTTAACATTTTTTGGCTGTAATGAATAAAAAATGAAATAAAGTGATTATAAATTTGTAATTTTTACATTTAAAATTTAAATCACTGAAATCAAAAAAACTCGTAAATCTTTGAAATTTATTTTTAATGATAATATAATTGACTAATTTAAACACACTTGTTAAGGATTTTGATTAAAATGTGATTCGTTTTCTAAAAATATCGAACTCCAGAAATCATAAGTTCTTTAAACACAGCAAAAAAAACTTTCTGACATAAATTATATTCAGTCTTGAAGGCTTTATGAAATTTCTTCATTAAAAGGAAAAATTTATTTTTCTTTTTACGCTAGTTGAAGGTAAAAAAAAATTGAGATCGTAAAGCTTTAGGAATGACTGAAAAAAAATAATTTCTCGATCAGATTTGTGCAGTGAAAATGCTGAGTCTTTAAGAGGATTAAAACTGGCAATTAAGTTCATGAAGAAAGATTTTTTATTACGCAGTAAAGAGAATCATATATATACATCTAAATATATGTATATAAAATATATGTACTTCTTCGAAAATATAAACTGTTGTATTTTCATCGTAGATATTTGTAACATAAAATAATATTTAAGAACAAAAAAAAATTTTTATTCACTAATAAATTTTTACTAGGCGACATTCGAATTATTTATGATAATTCAGTATATAATAGATTAAAATAGGTGTGCACATCATGAATGTAGTATTGTAATAAAATTTGTAATTTTTGAATTGAATAATACAGAGCGACGTGTTTCACAGAAATTCTGATAATCTATGCAGCTTAAAATTGCTAAATACACGTGTCATGTTACGAATAACATCCCGAGAACCACAATTCGAAATCAGAGGTCATTGATAATTTGTTCACACTGCTGATTTAGTCGATTAAATGATAGTCAAAATGTAGACGCAGTATGCATATATTATACAATACAAGACGTATAATTGAATTCATTCTCTATGTATATTAATAATACCTTGTTAACAACCATCTTTTGTATATCATGAATTCAGTTTTCAACTAAAATATTTGTTTTTCAAATTTAGCCCTCAATACAAAAGTAGACCAACGTTTTTTATTTATTTACTTCCGAAATATGAGACTTGGTGTACATGAATAATAGAGTTAACGAAAAGAATGGAGTAATAGGATTATTAATGTTGTTTAACGTTTTTATAGAATTGCAAAAGATTAAATGAAGAACATTAGAGTGGTTTTAGACAAAAAATATTTTCGTCAAGAGCTAGGAGATTAGAGAATTTCTTTAAAATGTTTCTCTCCAACGTTCAATTTTCATACTTTTGTTCATTTTTGGGTTAATAAAAATAAAAATAAAATTAAGTAGAATAATTCAGTCTTAGGCCAGACATTTCCTTGAGAAGTAGTGTACAATTTTTTATAGCAAATATTATCAGTTTTAAGCCTCAGAAATAAAATCTTTTGGTTGTAAAAAAATGTAAATATTATGATTTTTAAAACATTTGAGGAGGAAAAATAATAAATAGTAGTAAAAATAATGATTTTGATGGATTTTTGAAAGTTTTTAATCACATTTTTTCTGGAAAAAAAAGTATTTTCTTCTTTTATGTTCTCAACATTCTGTTATCCATTGTAGTACCGTTAGAGCACGTGGCGAATCTGTAAAATTGATAAAGTTTTGTCGAAGAACTTTTATAATACCCATCAGTACTTTAGTTTGAAGAATATCTGTATATATACATATATATATATATTGGCAATTTATGTTGGTATTTTCGACGGGCCACTTGACGACATTTTTTTTGTTCGATCTTTTTTCTTGCTAGGTTTACCTCAAGTTTTTGGCTTTTTATTCAGGAAAATCTTGTTGGAAACATCGTTATACCAAGCGATGGATAACGGCTACCACATGTTCTTGAAGTATATAAAGCACCAATTTATTACTACGAAAATACGAGTAGAATAAAAAATTTTATGACCGTAAAAGCTATAAAATATCTATGAGTATTTGCATCGACATAATTTTATAGGGGATTCAAGTTGTTTTTTCAAATTAACTATAAATATACAATAAATCAAATGTCACGATTCAACCTCTCGCATGCTCATTACTTTCAAATGTATCTCATCATAAAAAAAATCTGGTGAAAACTTTAACAAGAAAAAGAAATACTGCTTACCGTGAAAAAAACCAACCATTTTTATTTTGCAGTGTTGGAAATATTCAACGACATTCAAATGCAAAAAATTTTGTCTCGATACTACGATGCTAAAACCTATACAATTTCGTGCTGAATTGATACTTAGTTTTCGTTTTGTGGTGATAAATTATTCGAGAAATAATTTGGATAGTTATTTATGTTATTTTTTACAATTGCAAAAATTTTAATCAAGTTTGATAAATGGCGTTAATTAATGCAAATGCGAAAAAGATGTACAATTTAACGAGAAAATGATCAAACAAAAAAATAATTTACATAATTTTTTTACAGAATAATATCGATATTTAAGTATTTATGGATAATATCGCCGTTGATTATTACACTAAAAATAAGTATATCAATATAAAATAGTTTTTATGGTTTTCTATTAACTTTGTCAACGTTTTTGTTTCAAACGTGAAGCTCAAAAGGTTGCTTATTTTTAACGTTTTTGATTCACTAGCTGTAATGAAAATATCTTGCCTATGACTGACATAATAACAAAAATTTACTATAATTTTTTATTTATAAATTAAAAAAAGAATTGAAATAAAAAAATTTCAACATGTTATGCAGTGTAAAATTTTATATCACATAACTTTTATGTGTAAAAGAATAATTGAATCAATCTGTTTGCAAAATTATACAATTTTCGAAAAACTTTTTCATTACTTGACTCTTTAAAATAATAAAATTTTTATTGTTTCAATTTAAAAGAATATTTATCAAGACACTTGGAAAGTTGGACAATCAATTCTCGATAGTTAAAAATTTTATTTATGACTTGGTATAAGAGAATAAATTATCATTATCAAATATTGAATAGCTGAACTTTGAAAATAGATAAAAAAAATCAATAAATTATGATATGAAAAATTATAGAAAAATTCTTTATCATGTCTTTAGTTTGATGAATTTTAGTAGTCTTCGTTCGTTTTTTTTCTTTGAACTTGTCCCCAACTCCTTCAGCAGAAATAACACTCTAAAAGTTGGTGAAAGTTGAGTGGGTAAATGGTGAGAATGATATTAAAGCATTATCGTAGATGTTAGAAGAAGCAAGTTTTGTTGATGCGTGTTTGCTTTAGGATTTTGTTGAAATGTTTGGTAGGACATGTATAGCAGAATAGTTGTAAGTAAAGTCGAGTGGGACTAGTAGATTGATGGGTTCAACTAAAGAGGAAAATGTTCAAGTTTGTACAGAAGTGACAGTATCGCATTGTTTTCCAACATCATAGCTTGACATTTTCACCTACGATCTCGTAAATCCGTCATTTTACGTTTATGTGATGTTCAACAAAATAGCATGGTATATATCATTATTCTTGCCCCTCGAGGCTTTTCAGTCACTCTAAAGTGTCGTCTTTATGTTGGTATATATAAACTTGTGAAGTTAAAAAGTTAAAAAAAGTAAAGTATGGAAAAGCTGAGAGAGAGTTGTTAAAAGTTTTTCACGCTTCGAATGATTGTTGTCAGATGTTTTTCAAATTCAATCACCTAAATATACATTGATATGTTGGATGTGATTGTCAAGAAGAAAATGTAAATTTTTATCAGTGCACCACTTTAATAACAAAGACATTTAATATTTAACATATATTGTAACAAATCAATTTTGAAGAGAAACTTTTTTCTAATAAAATGTGATTACATGAGGCGAAAAGAAAATCAATTATTTTTTACTTACTCTCGGTGAATGAATATACAGCTTTGAATCCTTTTGCTAAACGTGAAGATTGAATTCCTCGAAATTCCAATAGAAGTCGAGCACCATTACTCATAATGGGTCGAGGAGGTGCAGTACCACAAAAGGCATCTATTTTTTCCATCCTCCCATCGATTGGAACAAACGCTACTAGAGAATCCACATTTTCACATCTAAAATACACAGAAATTAATCTAGTAGTATTAGTGATTATAAACCATAATTAGAAGAAACACAATGAAGCTTTCAATTTAAAATATACTTGGAAATAAATTCATTCATACGTTTTTGAATAATATCATTTTCGACATTATTTTAAAATATCATTGACAAAAATCATAATAAAATAATATTTAATAATAGATTCATCAGAGTTTCAAATAATATTCGATGTTATGTTATTGAATGCTTCAATTCTGTTAATTGAATAAATAGCATTAAATTGAAAACAATAACAGATAACATGCTCATCTATAAATCAAGAGGTTAAATAAAATATTTCAAAAATTTCAATATATACTTTAAGGAATATATTCAAGATGGCTTGATTATAAATCTTTCTCTTACTTTTTCTTGTAATAAAAATGGTGAGAAATCTTTTGATATTTTTTTAGCTCTACGGTATTTAGGTTAAGTGCTTTTAGACTTTAAAATCATTTCATTTTCACTATTATTTTTTTGAATAATTTTGTTATCATTATTATTACATTGGTTAAAAAAGTAGTTTGCATTTACCCTTTAGTTTCGTCTGGTGAATTGAAAAGATTAAAATCTTGAAAAATAATTTGCACTCGTTCCTTGCCTCGACCCTGAAAATCGTATCGACATGCTGACCTTGGAGGATACGTATTAGGATAGCCTGGTGATGTGACGATGCCAGTTTTTGTCATATCACTGTGATAAACCATATCACATGACGATGCTAAAACATAAAGAAAAATGTCATTAGTTAACTAAAAATTTCTAACGAAAAACTAATCTCATTAATTTGTAATTTACCATCAATATTATATATAAATCAATATCTAATTACACTTGTATAAATAATTATATTCTTTAGTTCTTTCATAGAGAACTGGTAGTTAAAATTTCATATCAAAAGATTTTTTTAATATTTATTTGACAAATATAGTCAATAGAGATAATTAATTCATTACAATGACTAAAAATCGTAACATTTTATTTTATAAATTGAATGATTAATAGTTGCAAACGGACCGTGACAGCTACACTAAATACCCTCGAAGCAGCGAATTATTTAAAATGATATTTTATTTGATATATTTTTTATTTCATTTAAACAAGTAAACAAATTAAGTCTTTATTATAAAATAATCCAATTAATTATTTTGTAATATTCATGTTATTATTATTTTTTTTTTTTAATACAATATCGTTTACGAAGAGATAACATCATATTGAATAGAATTATTATTGTACGTAATATTTTTATTACATGTTATTTAAATTTTATAAAACGCAATAAATATTGATGTAATTTTTTTAGATAAATTCCTGTATTATTAACAAATATTTATTTACATAAAATAAATTCCATCGATTCAGTCAATCTAAAAAAGAGCTTTATTAAAATATAATTCGTAACTAATTGTTTTTAAGTTATTTCATAATTGAATGCCATATTACATGAAGCAAAAAAGAATTTAAAATACAAATAAAATGATAATGTGTGTATTTCTTCTTTGAAATAAGTGTTTTTAAAATTTGTGATAAATCAAAGTAATTCAATGCTGTAATAAAAAAAGTCAAATACTTCCGGCATGTATCTAAAAACTTGGAAAAAATTGAAGTGGTTCTCTCAAGAACTTGGCTCTTTCATGCTCACTTGCTCTTAAAACATTGATTTTTACAGAATAAATTGGAAAACTGATAATATGCAAAATCCATCAGTTAAGCTCCGTTGAACTCTTGCAGATATTTAAGTGATTCTTGCTCAGATCCATTGGCTTATCTATGGTCTATTCGTAATCATCCGTCATAACTTGAATCTGGTTATAGCTTTTAACTATTTAAATTCATTCTTCTTCAGATCTAAAACGATAATCAACTGACTCGATTCATATCTAAGAGGATATTTATTTGCTGCATATACATTTATAACTTATGCTATGAATATTTCATGATCAAATAAATATATAGAGGATATTGTTAAATTTATCAGGGTGCAAGAGAAAAAAAAATAAACAGATGTGTGACGATGTCATAATGCACATAACTCACAAAATATTTAAGCTCTCGAGATTCTTCGCTGAAGCTGTTCAAGATTTGAAAATAAAATGCTGTCTTGGATAGATAAATATCTTTTTTATCCATCCAATTTTTAACTATTGATCAGTTTCGATTTTCCTCTGATTTTATTTTTATTTTAGAAAAACAAAATTATTTCATTGCATTTGCATGGCTTATCGTCTCGTCTTTTTGCTTTCATCACTTCCCAGAAGTTGATTGAATCTTTCAAGCCGCAAAGTAGAGTAAAAGGTAAAAAGTACCACTCCTTAACTCTGCTACACCTAGGTAACCGATCAATAAAGTTTAGGAAATGCAATGATTTATATGAAACTAGATAATAAAAATTTATTTCTTGTGGTGTAATAAATTTTTTGTCACAAATTATGTTACAACAATTTATTATATTCTTTCGAAGATATATTTTATTTTAGTTTCAGGTATTATAATTTTTTAAATGTTGATTTGAAATTAGTTTTCTTTAATAATAAATTTTTCTTCAGAGCACTTCTTCTTTATTCTGTTTTAGTTTTTCTAAAGGGAAATATAAATTTTCATTAAAGTAAAAAATGTGAGAAAAGAAAAAAACTATTAGGAAAGAAACATCAATAATAACGAGTAGGAGGAGAATGTTTATTTATTTTTATTGTTTAACGTCAAATAATAGGTTATAAAGTTCATTAATCATATTATAGAGACTCGATACCACTGTCAGAAAGTGCTTGGCTGTCAATTTCCATGAAATCTTGTACAGCATTTAATCAACTCAAATCTGCAACCACACTTCAACAACATCATGAGTAACTTTATGTATTGTATACGTCTCTGTTCAGTAATACTATTATCATACATACTCCTATTACGGATGATGAATTTTCCCATATGTGCTAGATAATTTTGATCAAATTAATTGGTGAAACGTCGACCAAGCTACTGCACAAATATTTTCGGTTGAATTTTTTACTTTTTTTACGACAACATTTTTCTCAATTATTCAATATACATGAAATCTGAATTTATATATTTATTATTTCCATTAAAAACACGAAAACTTTTTTAAACGACCCATATGCATGAATACACGGGTAGATTTTTTTAAAATAATATTTTAGGTCACTCAATCATCACTATATTTAGTAGTGAATACTTTTCATAAATATAAATTTTGTTAAAAAAAATTCACCTCAATGCAAAGAGGCGTTAGAAAAGAGTAAAAAATATCGATAGTTTGTTTTTAGTGTTTAAAATAGCTTGAGAACAGTGTGATAGATTAAATTGATTTCTTCTAAATTGGTACAGTCGACATTCCGACAGTAGGCGATGAACTGTTAAAAAGTCCTTACATTGAGGACATTTATTTTGTGCTTCATTGGTTGTAAGACAGATGTGAGAGACATTAGTGTAGTCGATACATTGTTGGTTGAAGAATGTTATTACATTGCTCACAGATTTTAAATTATCAGTCATTTATTGACATTAAAATTTTATTATCTGATAAGTTTTAATATTGTAAAATATTTCAATCTGTGTGCTCACTTAACATAGCATTTGTCGTGAAGTAAATTCAGACCCGAAGAAAAAATAACATCAGGACCATAGAGTAATTATTTGTGTAATGAGTAGTACTGAGATAGTAATAAAGTAGTTAGAGAGTAGTTGGAGATCAAGACTGTTTAGTAATTATTCATGTAATGAATATGAACATAGCAGTAATAAGATCGTAACACTACGGTATATCTAGTAGGAAAACGAGATTAGACTCATATGTGATCATATTTCATTCTCTCTCAGGTTAATTACAATTTTTACGCACTTATTGATGCATGACAATATTTGACTCAAAATATATTGAATTAATTTATTTAATAATAAAAGTAAATGAATTAATTTATACCATAGTCAAATAATGATTTATTCAAAGACAATCAATATGTTGATACTATTGAAAATTTTATATTCGTCCAATATGTGAGTTTTGAAATTTCCATTTTTATTAGTTTTTAATAACTATTAACTTTCATAACTGATAAACGATAAATGATTTTTCTCTCAATAAACTTATTTCTTGCACTAAACTGGAAAAATAAAATTCTCAGATTAAAAATAATTTTAACATTATTGATGAATTTATTTATACTCGCTTGTAAAATACCTATTTTGGAAATGAAATTAATTTTAATTACATAACATTTTCCATCCTCTGGTCGTTGCTAGTACATTTTATGTATCAATTATTTTTTAATTCAACCAATGCTGAAAAAAAGTTAATTTTTGTGTATGAGAAACAAAAAAATCTGATTTGAGAATATTTATTCTTCTGTAAGAAGTCTTTTTCATTTAGGAATATAATTTTTCCAGTGGAGCATTAAATTATTTTATTGTAAAATATTTTATTGCTCTGCAATTGAATGTATTTAATTTATAAAATCACTTGAATATAAAAAGAATAAATTATGAAAATGTTTGATAGCAGGCGTACATACTAAATGCATGCAAATAAGACGACGAACTTGGTAAACCTCATTAAACCACTAAAGAATCGGATGGAATGCCAAGGTTTTTCTCTCTTTACAGATAATGATCGATTGCGATAAGTAATTCTCACTGTACTCTATAGCCTTAGTTTTACCACGGAATGTTCGTAACGTTATACCTATACTAAGAATTTAGAGATGGCAGTCTCATGAATGCAAATTAAATTTTGTCTGCTTCATACCATCACTTTTTTGCTTCCCTCATTTATATTAGCAATATAATCATCTCCTAAATTCTTTTTCTTTTTTTTAGCTGCACATTTCATATAACCGCACTTCAGTAGATTGCAAAGCATACCCAGAAGCTATACCAATCATTCTGTGGTTGAGGATTTTGCTTTAGTTAGTAGAAGCTTAATTCTAGTTTCTTAATTGCCAGCACGTCATTTTCATGGATGCCGAATTAATTAATGACTGTATAAGAGCCCTTGTGTGAATATAATTGCAAATAATGATGGAAAATTTTTAATGATTCTAATACAGAAGAGAAAAAAAAACTATGACAACAGTTAAAGGTGTAGTTAATTGTTTTTTTTTTTTTAATTTTCTTGAAGATTACTCAAATGCCAGTTGAAGAAGAATTTACTTTTTTAGTTTGTTTATGCAGGAAAAGTATATGATAATTTAATTATTTTTTAATCCGGAAAACATAGCTTGTAAAATGTTGGTAATTTATATTGCTGTAATTTTACTTTATCTCTAATTTAAGCCATTTACTTATCTCTTGTTTTACACTCATCTATTACACTACTTTACAAGCTTTAACTTTTTTTCGATATCCATTGATTGAAATGCGTTTTTCTTTGTTTTTGTATTCTTTAGTTCTGAATCATTCAACAAAAAATTTCTATCACGCAAAGTTTTTTGAATGTATTGAATGCGATTTTTCAACTAAATACAGGAGAATTCGATCAGTGTAAAAATACGGAAGCAAGAATGATCAAAAGCGAGAAAAAAAACTAAAGAAAAATACTTTTCAGATCTAGTGAAGTAAATGTAAATAGTTTTTGTGATTTTTGGGAAAAGTTTCAGATTGAATACAACAGAATTATTGGAGGATGATTCCAGAAATTGTATTAAAAATATTTTAAAAAATTTCTATTATACAAAAATGTACTAAGATGGAAGATTCTTCAAGAAA